AGAGTCATTGTAAAGGAAACAATCAAAGCATGGAGGATCCTGTTACTTCTTTCAGCGGGATAATTGGGATAATTGTTAATTGTAATTTCAAGCTGAAATCTTTTGAAGCCAAAGGCTGAGATACCACAGAAGAAGACTGAAGTATTAACAGCAACACTGACAGGATGACAGGTCAGATGTGGTGAGTAATCTAAATACCAGACTTACACAAGACAATGGGTCTATTCTGTGCACCATACCCACACCCCTGAAAAACAGTTTCCGTTATTATGAAAATTGAGAAAATCATGCACTGCAAAGCTTATTAAATTGTTAACTTTCATTAGCATCAGGGTTCACACGCGCTATAGGCGGAGCACAGTGTTTCCCTTGATGAACCTCCCTGAAATATCCCTCACTTTAGGACTTCTGTGCTCATCTGCTAACTTACAACACTGGCAGACAATAACCTGTGACCAGAGGTGGAAGAAGTACTCACATTCTAAACTTCAGTCAAAGTAATAGTACTGCAGTGTAGGAATACTCTGTTACGAGTAAAAACACTGATTTCAGAATGTTACTTAAGTAAAAGTACAAAAGTAAACATGTACTTAAAGTACAAAAAGTAAAAGTACTCATTCGGCACAATGGCCCAATTCAGAATAATATAAAATACAGTAGTAGCCTATTATACGCTAAATGTACTTCAAGTATCCAAAGTACTTGTGCAGAATGGATATTTTTTCACATTTTATTTTATTATAGTTATGATATTATCCTGTTTTAATTTAAATATATATTATTCTGAAATGGACCAGTCATAATGAGTACTTTTACTTTTGTTACTTTAAGTATATTTTGATGCTAAGACTTTTGTACTTTTACTTGAGAAAAAGTACAAAAGTAAAAGTCCAATTCAGGACTTTTACTTGTATTCCTACACTCTGGTACTTCTAAGTAGCTCGAATATGCACAGTCCATTGATTGAGTAAATGTACTTCGTTACTTTTCATCACTGCTACCTGGTAAATACATTTGAAGTCATGTTTAATTCGGCTTATACTCCAACCCTAAATAAGTGATCACTGATCTCTTAAATAATGAATCTTTTGTCCACAGCTGAACACTTCACTATCGAGTTTCACAACAACGCTACACCACGGGAGGAGACACCTATTCAAATCACACTGAGATTTGATTTGACTTAAACTAAAAAACCCTGATGTGGCTGAAGTGGGAACATGTGAGATCCTGTTTGCAGTACCGTGGAGCCTCCAGTAATCAGACACCAGAGATCTGGCACTGTGGCGAACTCTTTACAGTTTTCCCTCCAGCTGCGGCGGCACTAACCACCCAGTAGGCTCCGAGTTCAGGGCTTTGACACATGCTGATCGCTCCTTTAATTCAAGCCAAATGAGAGTTAGTTACCTGTCAGCAGCACGGTGGGCATCAGAAGGCAGTAGAACAGCCACACGATCACCTGTAGATCCATCTGCGCAGATCGATAGGTCCCCGATAATCAGCAGTCAATAAGGTTCAGAAACACTTAGCACGTACGGCTCCATCGCGGCGGATTGATCCGATGTGACAGAGGAGTGAAGACACCATGCGATACTCGCTCCTGATCTTCCATGAAAGAAAACAAAACTTTTGTGGAAAGTTCCAACAAAAGTTTCCGATCAGTGGAGTCCTGTGCTCTCCCAGCAGCAGCAGCAGAGACCCAGTGGTTTCAGTGCTCGGGGAGGGAGAGGCTGAGCATGTGTTCCTCCGGAGGGGCCCAGGCTGTTACAGTAGTAGGTGGAAAATGTGATTCACAGGCAGGCAGTCTGAAGGGCGTTCATAGAGGAGCTATTCTCCAGCGGGCTGCTGCCGGTCACCTCCCTGCACACACTGCACTGCACACTGCCACACACACACACACACACACACACACACACACACACACACACACACACACACACACACACACACACACACACACACACACACACACACACACACACACTGCATACTGCCACACCAACACACACACACACACACACACACACACACACACACACACACACACACACACACACACACACATACACACACACACACACACACACACACACACACTGCCACACTGCTTATGACTCCTGCTTACGGCTAACCTAATCTAATTACACCGTATTGGTATAAAGTGTGAGCACATGCTTAATAAAGACGATTGGAATAAAAAGTAATACAGATGTATTATTGGCTGATAGTTGGTACATGTTTGTCATGCTTATTTCAGTGGTGTGAATTAACTAAGTACATTTACTCAAGCTCTGTACTTAAGTATAATTTTTCCTTAAGTATTTCCATGTTATGCTACTTTGTACTTCTACTCCTCTACAATTCAGAGGTAAATGGTGTACTTTTACTCCACTACATATATTTAATACCTTTAGTTACTTTACAGATTTGGATTAATGATGTGAAATATAGTCAACTCTTAAATCAGACTTTAGTTCCACCTGGAGTAAATTCACAAGCTACCCTGCAGTATACAAAGTCATTCAAACTAGCTGCACCTTCACCAGCTTTGAGAACACTTTCATGATCAATAATAAAACATATGTATTATTCTGAAATGGACCAATGACTACTTTTACTTTTGGTACTTTAACTATATTATGGTGATAATACTTTTCTACTTTTACTTGAGTAAATGTACTTTTTTTACTATTGTAATAAATACAGATATATGATTGGCTGATAGTGTGTTGGCATTGGTTTTAAAAATGTGGCATGTTTATAGATTGGCATTTCTGTCATGACCACGTCAATCAATACTGGAGCTGGAAATAGGTGTCCCCAAAAGCCACGAGACAGATCTGACACATAAACACATGGGCTGTTTGTGGGTCGGTGGCGCCCCCCAGCGGACAAACACACACTGTAAAAACATGGAACAAGTGAAGGCAACACTAGCGTTGGTTGTGAGAGGGGAATGATCCCATTCCCAACCCCAGCAGTAAGTCTCCAGCGTGTGGTTAACTGTGTGTGCATGGGTTAGTGGAAAGTCTGTAATAATATAAAAACATGAGGAACAGAGCTGCACATTTGTCCTGCTTATTCCTTTTGGTGACCCCACAGATTTGTCACGTGACCCCGGGTAGGTCACCATTTATGTAAACACATATTTCCATTTGAGGGGGGAGTGATTAGTAAAATATGCATGAATAAAAAGAAAAAATGTTAAATAGTTGGAAAAAGGTAAGATACACTTTAAAAACTTGTTGAGAGCTAAAACTAGTCTTTGCTGCTGCCTCAAAGAGGAGCAGGGGGGAGAGGAGGGAGACAGGAGAGGCTGATTCAGGAGCACAGACACACTCACAACTATAAATGAACCAAAAATAAATAAATAAACAACTTTCAGTGTTTTTTCACATGTTATTGGTTATGGCCATGATTTTATGATTATTGAAATGTATACAGTTCTGTTTCATATGGGTGTTCCCATAGATCTAGTCTCTTTATTTTTTAGGTCCACCCCCACTTAAAATATGTTCACATGGATAGGTTCCCAAATACATTTGCACATTTTTTTAAATAGTAACCCCTGTCCATATGTTTGTTATTGGGTAGATGTAAACTATAGGGCTATCACTATGGGCAGCAACGCTGTAAATATTTACAAATAAATCCAGCAAAATGTCACAAAAAAAACTGGTAGTGGCCTGGCTGGGTGTATAATTCCCGGCCTGACTCATTGTTCCAGTCTGGCCCTGGCCCCAGGTCATAACCACCATGTGGGAACCACTGCCCTTATTAAAACCATCAGGCTTCTTAATCAGTGATACAATAGCGGAACAAATACTCAACCATGAGTTGTATTGATTAAGTAAGGAGATAAATTACTTATTTTATTTCTGACATGTTCATTAAGCCTTTCATAGTGATCAGTGGAGTAAGCTAGTTACTTACGTGTTAAAGACTTAATCTTGTTACTCACTCTTGATTATGGTGCAATTAAGAGGCCTTTGTGAAGCACAAAGAGGGCTGCATGATTGAAGGGACCCTGAGAATATGTAAAAAGTATGTGGATGTAGATCAAGAGAGGATTAATACAGACTACTCAAATCTAAAAACCTCATTAGAATGGGGATATTGCTATGTTAATGAGTGTTGTGGCTACATGGCAATCTGGTTAAATCAAACTAGTGAATGTTATGATTGGGAAGTTAAACTATATGGAAGTTTCATAATCTAGGTTTATTCTTCTATCATTTGCTTCTAAAGTAAAATATATTATGTAGGCTTAAATAAGTCAAATAATTGTTAATACTTTCTTTCTTTACTTGGTTGCACATGGACATTTGATTTGCAAATAACATACCAGACATGCGTCACTCAACAGTTGAATAAATTGGATTGTTGTATTTGAATTAATATAATAAAGGGCAAATAACAAACAGACAATAGCTTGTTGATATCTTGTTACCAATGGAGACACCTATACATTACATTTCAAGTGTCAGCCATTGATCATTAAATGTGATGCCAAATGATTGATCAGGTTCAGTTTTGAGATACTTAAAATACAATTACCTCAAATGTAAAGCTTTTAAGAACTGTAATGACATTTTGTGAAATTAAAATACATTAACAGAAACATGTAATTATACTTTTTCAGTTATAGAAGCTGATGTGACGTGGAAACGTTTGTTATTTTCCCATTTTCTCCAAATTAAGTCTTATGTATATGACTTTTTAATCCATTTAGCTGTGTTTTGTAACACTTGGATAATATGATAAGGATCAGTCAAAGTCGTCATACATACATTTGTTATAAAAAATAATAATCAAAGTATGAATAAAGATATGTGTACTGGTAACATTATGTGTAAAAAAACAACAACACGTTTAAAATATCGTGTAACTTTAAAAGGCTGCCCCATCCATCCTTTATTTTCCTCAGACGTGGACCGGAAGAGGCGTGGCTTAGTTAATTTCGCGCGAATTTTCTTTCTTCTTCCTGCGAAGTTGAGCGTTTCCGGAGATCTATTGTGGGTGCTCAGTATTTATACCGCACCGACTTCAGGTTATTGTAGCGACCTGCACCTTCATCACTCCGCGGTCCCGGTGTCCACCCCGAGCAGCAGCAACATGTCTCAGGCTAGAGTTACCGACTTCTTCTCCCAGAGAAAGAAAGGCATCGCCGAGCCAGTGAAAGCAGGCAAGCCGAGCAGGAGCACCGCTGTCGGCCGTGGCTCTGCTGGGATCACCTCCAATGTCTCCAGGACCAGGTCATTACAAAACAAAGGAGATTTACCTCTGTCCTCCTCCGTCCATGAAGAGTTTGTCCGAATGATCGATGAGGCAGCGGAACTAGACCCCGGATCGTGTGTCGGTAACCCCGCGAAGAATTCCCCCTCCAGCCCCCGGACACCGAAGCGGACCTCGGCTGACACAGAGTTTGACCTCGGGTCTGCGCTGTTCTCAGCCACCGCCGACCACAGCACGGCGAAGAGGAGACGGCATGCCGAGGCCGGTAGAGAGGCTAAAGCTGCGGTCCAGAAAGCTCCGAAGAGGAAGGCCAGGAAGAAACTACTCCTCCCGCAAGACTCGCCTCAGGTAATGCTAGGCTTCTGACTCCTCCATGGGACAGATGCATGTAAACAACACATCTTAATGTTCTTTAAAAAGGCAAATAAACAGCCTTATTGTAACCCACTGGTGTAAAGTAACATTTAAGTACTGTACTTAGGTACACATTTAATGTACTTGTACTTTACACGAGTATTTTCATTGTATACTACTTTATACTTCCACCCCACTACATTCTGGAAGAAACTTTTGTATTTTTTACCGCACTACATTTATTTTACAGATTTATTTACTAATTAATTTTGAAACACAATGCATAACTAGACACTAATACTAAAAAAGTTTTAAAATATGATCATTTGGGATAGATTTAACCATCCGAGATTGTAATCAATAACTAAAACCATGAGTGGTTTAACTGAAAAATATTTAGTTGACAACAATTTGTACACTTGACAGCAATAAGACACTTCCAGCTTCTTAAATGTGAAGAGTTTTGTGGTTGTTGCAATGAGTACTTTTACTCCCCATACTTGCATTAATCGTACTTTGAATACTTTTCACTTTGTACCATTCTTGATGCAGTACTTAAAATGTAACATTTGATATCTTACTTTCACTCATCTGAAGAATCTGAACCCTTTGTCCATCCCTGATTGTACTGAATGGCAGGTATTGAGTGTTGGTGTTTGTGTGTGCAGGCTGCCGCTCAGCCCAGAGAGGAGACCCCCCTCTCAGCTCCTGCAGCCTCTGTGTCTGGACACAATGAGAAACACCTTAACCTCCAGACCCCCCCACAGAGGAGTCCAGTCCCCAGCAGGAACACTGAAGGACGGGCTTCTAAGGTAACGCATTGTGCTTGGATAATCTGACTGCTTCACCAGTCACCACACTTTATCTGGGCAGTTTGTTTCCATCATTATTTAATATGTTTTCGCAAACTAAATAAATACACATTTCTAAGTTCAACCCAACCCTGTGTGGGGAATGAAGAAACCTCACTTTTATCAGCTCATGCATGATATTTTTGTGTTGGGCATGGCTGTGTAAAGTCAACATATCTAATGATATCTACAGTGTTGTTCTGTTCTGGGCAGCATGGCAGTATTTCTTGGAATTATTTTTAAATAAACTTTAGATGACTTTGTAAGGATGTGGTGAAATCATGAACCGCATATAGAGCACTGTACTGTAGATACATGGGTCTTTAGACACACACACACACACACACACACACACACACACACACACACTTTCATTAGTAGGATACATACATTCAATGTTGGTTTTGCTCTGTACGTAGGATTGGTTAAAAACAAGACCAAAACAATATTGTCACATTTCCCCCTTTGAAAGTCCTGAATTGATCCCCATGGTAACCCCTCTCTCTGTCAGGCTCTGGGTAAAGAGGACCTTGCAGCCCTCAAGTCTCGCCTTCAGAGGATCAAGAAACACGCAGAGAGAATCCCCAGCCCTGCTTCAGCCCCCACACCATCCTCTCCAGCTGCTTCAGCTCTCAACAGCACCCCCACACCTGCCATTTCTGATGCTAAGACCCTCAAGTCAACTGTAGCACAGGCTAAAGAGCTAGCTGTTAAAGCTCAGCGGAGGAAAGCGGAGCGAGAGGCCAAGAAGAGCAGCCTGAGTGAAACACCATCCCAGGACAGGTGAGCAAAGTGAAGCATACCTACAGCAAGACCCTCAGACACATCTGTAGAGTGCAGCTTGAACACTACATTTCCACTAACTGTTCCCCCCTCTCCTGTTGTCCCTCAGTACTGAGCAGCCGGCCTACCAGCGGTACCACAACCTCGCCCAGGCCGCCCCCCCGGGGTTGTCCCTGCCGTACCAGTACAAGGTGCTGGCTGAGATGTTCAGGAGCATGGACACTGTGGTGGCCATGCTGTACAACCGCTGTGAGACCACCACCTTCACCAAGCTCAAACAAGGAGTCCAGGACATGATGCACAAGTAGGTGGACAGATGGAGGAATGTTCTGGTTGTACTTTAAAATGCGGATGAGTGATTTTGGGCACATACTATGTTCATATTAGCATGTATTGCCTCTACTGTGACATGTCTCCATGCTTTAATGTTCAAAAAGCTCTTTATTTGTCTAAACAAAGGAGTCCAATGGAGGAGTTTCAGGCAGGGAACACAGGGATTTTAGACTATTTACATGCACAAAAAAAGAGTTATCATTAAGTAGTATTGTATTGTTTCCTGGTACGAATTTGCAAAAGAGTGTCTTTCACTGACATTTCTTGAGAGAATTAGAAAGCTGTTGTGAAAAAACCCATTGTTGAAGACATTTGAAGTGACTCCTTAAAACAATTCTTGCAACAGAAAGAGGGAACTTGCAGCACATCCACTGTACCTCAACTATGTCTAGTAAAGATGCTGTTGTCATGTCTGTTTAAACTACCTTTAGCACCCCTTTGTAATATTCATTCATCACCACATGGAACATCTCTGACCAACAATTAGATTTTCCAAAAGCTCTGGGATTTGACAACATCCTGGAGCTAGGGTCAGGCTGCAGAAGATAACGTTAGATTTTTTTTTTTTTTACCCCCGCAGGCGCTTTGAGGAGAGCCACGTTGGTCAGATCAAGATGGTGTTTCCTGAGGCCTACACCTTCAGACAGGAGAAGAACATCCCCACCTTCACCAGCGGCATTAAGAAGGGCAGCTACCAGCTCACTGTGGAGCCCGTCGTCCCCTCCGGTAAACACTTTTCTTAAAGTTTTCTAGCGAATACAACTTGGATCAGCACACCATTTAATTAAGTTATTTAAACGGTGGGCCTGATTGCATGTCCCCTTTTCTAAGTGTCCATGATAATGTGTCCTTTACCTTGTGTTCATGCACTAACCTGTGTGCTGTGTCCTCCTCAGACCAGAATGAACCTCGTCCTGTCCTCTCGGCCACTCGCCTCCTGGAGAGGAGACAAATCTTCCACCACAGTCTGGTCTCCGTCGTCAAACAGCACCACAAGGTCAGCAGCTGCTTCAGTACTATTTCTAATAGTAAGCGTCACAATAGAGTGGTGCAGGAATGAGTCCTACAACCCGGAAATGAGTCAGCATTTGAGCACAGGTTTTTAACGTGTTAGATGCCAAAAATAAGGTCTGTGGTTAAAATGCGCTTACCATATTTTCACGATTTGTTCTACAACATAAAATAAATCAGTAAATAGCCCACTGGTGAATGTCTGAAGCTTTTACGTATCTTTTTAAAACGGCAGTTGGCCGACAAGTGACTAAATTAGACTAATAAACTTCATCACGCCCAACATTAGCTGCCTTTAGCTTAGCGGTGGTTACTTTAACTCGTGTTTCTGTGCTGTAGTTTCCTTATAGCCTAACGTTAGCTTTATACTTCTAGTGATTGCATTTATGCTTCAACAATTTAAAAAGTGGTGTTAACACTCGAACCGCCAGAGGTCGCTGTATACCTAAAACCGCAGACAGGTCAAATGTACCCGCTATTGATTTTCAAGGTACAATGTTCTTTTATTTATCATGTAGAACAGTGAGTTTTGATCGCACAGGGATGAAACTTATACCAATAGAATCTGTGGACAGCTTTTCATGATATAGTTTGTGCAGATAGCATGAAGTATAAAATATCGCTACCAGTGCTGATTTAAACGCTTGGTGTTAGACTTGTGTTTTGTTTAGGTACAAATCTCTATCTCTCTATAACTATCTATCTCTCTATCTATCTATAAGGAACCGCAGTAGACAAAAGGCGTTGCTATAGCAACACTTCATGTTTAGGCTGCATTTTCTATGAGGTAAATATTACCCGCTGGCACTAATAGGTATAAATGGCATTTTTTTTAACAACAGAGGGTGCTACATAACAAACTTTCAGGAAAAGTCACGGACTGGGAGACTTGAATATTTTATTGAAAAAAAGTTACATACAATCAAAAAAACAGCTGCGGGTAAAATTGACCCGTTGGCGGTTCTAGTGTTAATATGTAGAAATTATCCTGTGGCAAAAATGTGCGTCTTTGCTACAAATGTTATTTTCTTCAATAATTCCAAATCCAATTGAAAAATCCCATTCCTTTTTGTAAAGGGAGCCCTTGCAATGCTTACTGTTGTCTACAAATATACGTCATCCCTGCACCACTCGTTTTTGCTTTAGGCCAATGTTGAGGAGTTTCAACCACGGCCAAGTCCCAAGTTTTCGAATAGATGCTGTGTTATGATCTGGGATCGTTTTCTACAGTAACAATCAGAAAATATATTTTGGCCCTGAATGAAGGATTGACCTCTGTTTCTGCAGGTGTTTCTTTCCACGTTGGTTCCTGTGGTGACTGTTCCAGAGGACAAACTGACCCGCTGGCACCCCCGCTTCAATGTGGACACTGTCCCAGTCATCTCCACCAGCCTGCTTCCCCAGCCCCCCCACACCGAGAAACTGTCCACCGCTCAGGAGGTGCTGGACAGGGCCCGCTCCTTCATCACACCCAAGGTACTGCATGTGCTAAAACTATCAATTTAAGTATAATCATTGGGTAACGCTGTTGAAGTACTATGTGTTATTTGATAAAGAAACTGTATATTTCACTATCAGTGTTTTGATTGCATTCACTAAGCATTGTTCTGTCAAAACTAAATGGAAATGTCCTCTCTTCCTGCGTTCAGATGGAGAAGGCTCTGGCTGCTCTGGCTCTGAAGACTGAAGAGACTAAAGAGCCCACACCTCCACAGAACCCAACAGCCCCCCCACCCCCAGCTCCATCAGAAACTCAGGCCCCAACGGCCCTGAAAGGAGTGTCCCAGTCCCTGCTGGAGAGGGTAGGTGTTCCAGGAGGGGAACATTGGTGCTGGGGTGGGCAGTGTGAACAGTGCTTTATGGGGACACACCTTGTTTTGCCCCGTTAGATAATGATGTTGTGATGTATCTTGTTATCCTCATATTGATTTGGGTGCTCTGTTGGTGTTGCAGATTCGGGCGAAGGAGGCCCAGAAGCTCCAGGCAGCCATGACCAGAAACCCCGTCCAGGAGGGGCGCCTGCTGATGATGTCACGGCTCCCCGAGCTGGCCAGGATTCTCCGGAACGTTTTTGTGACCGAGAAGAAACCAGCTTTAATAATGGAGGTGGCCTGTAACAAGATGGTGGCCAGCTTCAGATCTGCCCTCAGCTCAGGTTGGTAGTGACATTAAGCTCAGCTTCAGTGGCTCTTTGTACGAACTAACTGCATTGACTTCTACTCGAGAGGTCATGTTTTTGTCTTTGTGACAACATTTCATACTGTGTAGATCCTCAGTGCCAGGTTCAGACAGGAAGTGCCCCCGTTGTTTTACAATTACCAACTTATTCTGCACATGTTTCTGTTTATGCATGACAAAAAATGTGAATGGCTTGGTAATGAACGGAGCCACCAAAGATGAATCCACATCACTACTTGTGGGAGAAGCTGAGAACCATCCTGCATACATTGTTTATACATCTTATTAAGTAAAAGGGTGGTTAAGCAGCGTTTCACTGTAGCATTCACCATTATCTTGTAATATGTGTTCTTATTGTATCATTTTTAAACAACTGTTACTGATTGGCTGTTCCTCTCTAATGAACAGGTGAGATGGAGAAGCACATCCGTCTGCTGGCAGAAGTGGCCGGTGAATGGCTGAAAATTCATCCAATCAGGAAGGACTTTTACCTGAAATTGAACAAGAACATGGAGCTCAACATCGTCCTGGACCAACTGAGCATCAGACTGCGAGAGGAGGAGAGGACCTGAGAGGACTGACAGAATAATGACTGAATGATCCAGTGAAGTGGTGACCTCAGTGACCCCCCCCCCCCCCCTCCCCACACCTTTCTCAGGTCCTCAGGCTAGTTCCCGTCTAAAGGGCAATATGCTTCACTGAATAACACTGTTTTGTGAACAGAAGGCACGTCTGACATTTTATACATAGTTCTGTGGTGTGCTGTAGGCTCTGAGTCTTCTTCTCTCAGCTCCAAGGTATGTCCCGAAATCCAGAGACCATGAAGGATCGTTCAGACCTAGTCCCCCCCCACCCCCCCCCCCCCCCCCCCCCCCCCCCCCCCCCGTGTGTTTTAAAAGAAAAGGTTGTTTTAACCACAGTTCTGTTAAAGGATATGAAGATGTGCTTTGTTTTGTTTTATCCATTGTTGAAACTGTTGTTGCTGTTCCAGTCTTTTTCTGGATCTATTTTCTACAATGTAGAACTGATGAAAGCTTACATTTTTATAAGTCATTGTTTACCAAATACAAGTTTGTCAGAATCCCGATGCCTGTTTTCTGTGAATTCAGTTAATTAAACATGACAATCGTAAGGCAAAGGTGACTTTTTATGTTGCCTCTGGTATAAAATGCTCATGCTACCTCTAAAAAAGAATCCTAATCATTAGGGAGATCCAACAAGACGTATTGCGTTCAGACATATCTTTGTTCTCCATGATACATAAAACAACATGAGTCTCACCTGGATAACTGCACATAAGCTGATCTAAACTTGAAGTGAATAAATTGAGACTTTCTGCGGTTGTATTTGTGTCTCCTGACCTGTTCTTGATCTTTCTTTAACAATATGTCTAAATGTCTTTACTGTAGTAGTAAAGATGAGAATGAATGAAACAGCTTGCTGAAAGGTCAAAGCAGCTGGAAGGCATTGCTGATCCATAAATACATTTGTATAGCAGCAATCCACCAGACTTGTTCCTCACCAAGCTTTACACATCAGGGTTATTATAAACATATATGCTAAATGATTCAAGATGATGCATTACGTTAATGAGATGGATGCGTCTGAGTATGAAGGGAGGTCCATCCCATAGTGACACCTCACTCATGCTACTCTGAAAACCAGGGTAACACAAGTAACCTACAAATAGGTTGTTATAGTGGTTAAAGTAATACATGTGTTTTTGTTGTTCTGTTTATCATAAGGAATCTTACTTGTATTATATTTTCAGATTTTGTATTAGCTAGGATATAAAGTGTTTAGTAATTAAAGTATGAATCGTTTTTATTGAGAAATCAAATAAAAGACCCAGTTCTTCCTTCTGACAATGTATTTTGAACACACACTAATCTCCATCAAAGGAGTGACAGGCGAGTTACAAGTTGATGGTCCTTCACTTCGTACCTGATTCAAATATCCTAAATAACTGTTTGTAGATATGCATGTTCCTAATGACCCCTGACCTTTGCACTATTTTCATAATGTGGTTGGCATTGTATGTCTTATGGTATAGTGAATATAATAACGTATTTCCATATAATAGTCTCTTCTCTGTAGAGAAGTATAATTATATAAAGTATTAGAAAATAGTGGAAATAATTTAAGAGTACAACTTATTTCATTTACTATAGTCAGGGTTCATACACTTATTCACCAATGATTTTCAATGACTTCTCCATGACCTTTACCTCATTTTCCATGACCAAAGAAATTACTCTTTCTCAGCGGTACCACTGAAACATTTTTATTTTAACATGGTTAGCTGGAAAATAAGGTCTGCATATGAAACATGTTGTGCCTATCTAAAACAAATCAAATAGGCTTACTAGCTCCTACAGACTAGCCACTGTAGACTACAGGGCGTGATTGTAAATCTCTCACCAGCAAAATACCTCGACAGTTAAATGCCATTTTACGTTTCATTACTATACGATACAGTATTTATTATCATTATAGTATTACTATTTCGGCAATTAGATAAAATATAAATTATATTTGATGCAACTTTGGTTACATTTCCATGACTTTTCCAAAACCTATTGTTTTCCATAACTTTTCCAGGGCCTGGAATTAGCATTTTGAATTTCCATGACTTTTCCAGGTTTTTAATGACCGTAGGAACCCTGTATAGTGAATGCTGCAATGTGAGGCAGAGATGATTCATTGCTCACATTAGCCAACATAAGCTTCTGGAAAACTTCAAGTTCGACTGCAGCAGGGAAATCCCTGCTTGCATTGAATAGAGCAAGGACACATCTGATGGCTGACTATCAGAACTTCTCATTTGGAAGAAGACGCATTTGAAAAATAAAATATACAAATGTGGTAGTTGATCAATTAGTTTTTAGCTTTTATAAATGCAAAAATATCAGTCAGATAAATGGTATCATTATAGACTTCTTACATTACCATGTGTGTGATAAAAGTGATACATTAAGGACAAAGGTTGTGAAAATTAAAATGACATGCTAATCACATGAAAGCTGCATTAGTAAGGAGAACAGTGGTCACAGGTACTATGATTGAAAACAGTGAAAGAAGGCCATGTTTGGATATCTTAAAAAGACGTATCACTGAGTACAGATGTTAAGACCCTTTGAATCCCGTAGAATAAATGGTTGAAAATGTATGCAATAAAGCTAAGTGACAACAAGCATTAACAGATGTGTGAATAAATGACCATTTAAAAATATATATATTTAAGTGCTTACTGGAATTGCAAAACAGTATGTGATTGAAATGACAAAAAACATTAAGTGAAGATGAAGAGCTTTCCTGTTTGCTGATGGAGACACTGGAAGTACCGATCTTTTAGTACAAACTTTGTTTGACGCAGACAACATGTTAACTTTCTTTGTGCAGCCGTGTTCACTTCAGTAAAGAGCTTGGCCTGATCCCAGGTCTGTCTGCAGCGCTCCTCAGTACTGCAGCAGGGAGAACACCTGGTGTGGTTTCAGTTTGTCGATGCCGTTCAGCTCCTTGAGCTCGATGACCACCATGCATCCCAGAATATCAGCCTGCTGCTTCTTCATCAGCTCACAGGCTGCGTACAATGTCCCTACAACACACACATGAACATCACTTTCAAATACAAGATGGTTCCCACAGTGGGGCATAAGAATCACTAACAAGTTGGAAAACATTTTTGATTCAAGTTAAAAAGTGCAAATGTATTTAACATTTAAATCTCCTAAAGCCTGATTAAGGCTTTTTTTGTTGTTGTTGAGTTTATTAATAATGTAAAGGTGTTTTTAATTGATTATTTTATTATAGGTTTAAATGTGTTTCTTTTGCATTTTGAGGAGTATTTATCAGAAGTCTTGCTCACTTTGATAAAAGCCTACTGGGTAAAAACATGTTTTCATTGATCAATTGTGAGTGATGGCCATGATTAACATGATGCATTTCAAGCTGATGTAACCATGGATTTCTCACCTCCAGTAGCCAAAAGGTCATCAATCAGAAGAACCTTCTGTCCTGGAGCCACGCCGTCCTCCTGGACCTCCACCTCTGCCTGCAGGAGGAGGACACTCTTACTGTTCATCAGATTACAGATTTCCTGCCTGAAGTCATGACCTTTTTCCAAGTAGACTCTTTGGCCCTCATCACAATATCAGACAGTGATGAAAGACTTCAAAGAAAATAACATTGTCTATAAATGTAATTTGAACAGTGCATTTTAAGGCCCTGACACACCAACCCGATTTTGGGAGTCAGAGGCCGTCAGAGGCAGTCGGGCATTCGCGGCACCCTACTCAGGTTGGTGTGTCCCGCACCGTCGTCTCTTTACGGCACATTTTCATACCTCCCGCGGCTGATTCAACTTGTTGAATCGGTAGACAGTTGGCCAAAGAAAGTCGGCCAAAGAAATCACTCTGATTGGCTGTTCAGCTTAGCGAATCAGTGCATGAGAAGCGAAGCGGAAGTGAGGGACCAAAACAAACGATTAAGAAGGCACACACAGACAGACAGAGCTACTGTCTACCACTGTTCATTGTTCATTTACCTATTGTGAGCATCACATGGAAATGTACATTTTGCAAGAAGTGGCCATTATTCAGATGGGTGTTTCTGTCTGCCCCTCTATTCTTTCTCCCATTATCCTCCACAATTTGCCTAGAAGTATTTTAACGTTGTAGCTGTTCAAGATGGTCATTTTAAAATGTGTTAAAAATATACTGTTAGTAGTTAAACCAATAATAATAATGTACGGCTGCAACTGACAGTTACCTTGATACTACAGCCATTGATAACACAGCATTAGACATATTTGGCAAACTCTTTTTTTTTTTATTGTATTACACACTATTTTTATCGTATTGTATTTTTGTCGATTGTTTACATTGTACAGTTCTTTAGACATATTTGCTATATCTTATCCCACTGAAAAGGCACTGCACCGACACCGTTAAAATATTGGCATAGTTCATCCCTGTGCTGCTTGGCTCGAGCTGGAATATTGGTGCCGTGTGGCAGGGTGGCCTGCCGTAGTTCAGGGTCTAGTCTCCATCTTCCTGGGACAGCTCTCGACACAGGTTCGGGAAAGCCCCCTGAGCTTCTCGCTGTAGTATCCATGTTTTCACCCATTTAGTGCGGTTTCTCCTGATTTTTCGCTTCCGCTTCTTAATCTCTGCAGCCGCAAGCAACACTCCAATTGCTGATAATGCCAGTACCGTACGATACATGTTTTCGATCGACGAGAGAGAGTGAAAATGGAACCCACACGCTATTTGTTGTTTGTTTATATCACGCAGTCTGTTCTTCTTCTCTCGGTGTATCACGCAGTCTGTCTTCCGGTTGTTGCCTCTTTTGAATGACGAATACACAATACCGCTGCCTGCTGGTAAGGAGAGTTATTGCCACTCGTCGACTGAAGTCTTTGCGGTGTGTTCGTAGGCGGGCGGCGTAGCCGACGCAGGCGACGTAGCGGACGTAAAAGTCGGGACGCCTTCGGTACGCGTTCTTTGGTCTCAGGTTGGTGTGTAGCGGCCTTTACAGAACAAACCCACTTTAAAAACTCTCTGTAGCTCTTTCAGCAAAACTAAGGCGTTACCTTAGATGTATCCATCTTACTGGACATGCTTATCAAAGAAGTGGTTATACCTCATGAGAAGGAGTCTCTCTATGGAAGATTAGATGTTGTTATCGTAGTGGTAGAGAAATGTTTCTGACTGCACAGTTTACACATCACTGTCACATCTTTGTCCTTATGCAAAACAAATTGAAATAGTGTGCATTTCTCCACCCCTCAGGAGACGTCTTATGCCAATCTGGCATTTTTGCTCTGTCTCCTTCTCCGTGTGTAGTGTAGCGCAAGCACGCACAGGAAGGAAGTTTGATTTATTTTTCTGTCCTTACGTTATGCAGATAGATGAAGGGCATAAAGTCACGCAAGTAACGAGATCATTTTGTGCTTAGTGACTGTAATGTGATTACTGCCGTTATCAACAACTCCTGCATTACCGTTACAGGAGTTAGCAGTAATCACATTACAGTTACTAAGCACAAAAGTATCTCCCCAACACTGCAAGACACACTGGCCTGTTATCCTCCCATATGTTAATTGTTGTGCGGCCAGTTATGTTACAGAAGCATGAGAAAGTGGTTTGTAGCTCTGACTTGTATGTCATTTGAAGCCCAGGAGGCTGTGATGGCCGAGTTGTAGCAACAGCTAGGAGAGTGGTGATGTGATGACGCAGCAGTCAGTGGAGAATGAACATGTGTAGGAATAGAAAGGGATATATAATTATGTGTGGCTTTAGTGTTAAGATATTTATCAATTAATATATGAATCTCTACATTCCTGTATTCCCTAATTGCCATTCTATCCACAATGTAAAAACTGCAAAACAAAACCAAATCCTGTGTGTGTGTTCTTTACCTTTCCATACTCCAGATCATACGCCACAGACACAGTGCTCCCAGGCAGTTTGCCGATCTTTCTGACCAGGACAAATCCAACACCTAGCCTCTGAGCCAGCAGAGGACCAAACAGGAAACCACGAGCATCCAAACCTGCACTCAGACACAGGAGGACAAGTTAGGGCCGGATATAATGTATGGAAAATGAATACAACCCACATCAAAGTGTTTACATTCTAAAAATCTAATTTGTTTATATGGAAGTCTTGCCCTGACCCAAAGTAAAAACACAAATGAATTCCATGAAACATTGGACATTTTTACAGTCTGCCTAGATCGATCCCAACTTGTTCTGGTCACAGAAAAAGGCAGTTCTTTTAAGGCTAAGACTGGTTTATAATGAAAAGAAGCTTTGCTTTGGTTCCTCACCCACGATCAGATCCACCTGCGGGTGGTTCTTCCTCACATGTTCTTCAAACAGGTCGGTCACAGCTGTCAGAGCTGCTGGATCCTTCAGGATTGGACAGATATCCCTGCATCACACATTACATTAACACACGCTCAGGACTCATTTATGAGCTTCTGCTTCAAATACATTTGAAATTATATTCCAACAGCACACCTGATTGATTTGGTAGCTAATAATTAAATTAATTACGTGTAAGTATATGTAATAATAATCTTTCATTCACAAAGTCAACTATAAATTATTCCCCATCAACCCCAACTGTTCTGTCACAGGCCATAAGACTATTAAACACCTGAGCTCGCACTATTATTATTACACTTTTTTTTTTTTAATGTCTTGTAATTGCATTGTTGAGGAACCTGTGACCCAAGTTGTTCATTCATTACAAACTACACCGTAGTTTTGTTTAGGACATGACTATAAACCTTTGAATTTGAAATTTGAAACTGAGGTGGGGCAACAATAAAGTTGTTACAGTTATCCTAAATATGTATTCAAATGTGTTGCTTGCACCCACGGATATGAGGCCTACATTTTCATACAAAATAAGAGAAAACCGCATATTGTCATATTGGAGAAGCTGGTATAAGACAATGCTTGATAGAAGGATAATAATTAACCCAAATTCTTGTTGATTAATTTTACGTTTCATTTAGCACTTAAAACATGGCCTAACAGTTATATTTCTCCAAGTTAGTAGTTCCATAAGCCACCTGCTGAGAGCAGATAAAGCCACTGCCTGCATGTGTTTGATCTAATAGACATTTATTCTGTATTGGCTGTAGGAAGAGATTGGGGAGAGGGTGAAGAGGTAGAGTTACTTTACCTCAGGCACTGACTGGCCTGAACTACAGGTGGAGCAGCAAACAGGTAAACACTACTGACTGTAGGAACTGTAATAACTGTAGGCTAACTGTACTAACACGGTTTATTATGTGGCTTCATGAACAACAGGTAGGTGGAGGGTAGACAGGTGGTGTGGAGGAAAGAAATGCTGTCAGACACCCTTTCAGAAGGTTACAGTCAACTTTTTCCCTAAAGCAAAGTCTTAAAATATTTATATATTTAGATAGCCCTGACAGAAACAGTGGTCTGCACCACACGTGCAATACATATCCTCTGTAGGGTGTGTGTGTGTGTGTGTGTGTGTGTGTGTGTGTGTGTGTGTGTGTGTGTGTGTGTGTGTGTGTGTGTGTGTGTGTGTGTGTGTGTGTGTGTGTGTGTGTGTGTGTGTGTGTGTGTGTGTGTGTGTGTGCGCGTGTGTAGCACTGACACTGCATGGAGAGACTGTTCCTGCACTACATAAATGTGGGTAGCCGTAGCTCAGAAACTCTGAAGCAGGTGAAGCGGTAAACTGACTCTTACCGGAACAGAATGCCTTTCTTCGGGAAGTCGGGGAAGGCTCGGACGTGTCTGTGGACCAGCTGCAGTTTGGACTCAGAGCTGGTTGCCATGCTTGCTCTCTATCTCACACTCTGCTCTGCTTTCTGCTTACTGCTGCCTGCTTCTTCTTCTTCTATGGTTTTAATGGCAGACTACAGACCAACGTTGACTGTGTATGCCGTCACCTACTGCACCGGACGGAGTGTAAGATATCATGACTTTATGACATGTTTTCTACTTGGATACAACGTTAGGATTTCTAAATGTAAAAAACACACCAAAATCATCTAAATACTGACTTTAAAAATAGGTTAGATTCTGGATATTAAACCTCCGTTCCCTCCACTACAGAGCACACTGACAGTGTGTACTAACCATTACGCATTAGCGCCCTCTCCTGGGCTGGGGTGCGCAGCTACACCACCCACAAAACCCCAAAGATTGATTTATGCTTCACATTGTATGTTGATTTCCCCCCAACAGCAAGACATGGCAAGTTTATTCATTAAGCACATTTAATATCAAATCACATTATCAACAAGGGAATTCAAATTGCTTTACAAAAAACTTGTAACATCAGTCACTAGAAGCCCAAGATAATTCTAATTGAAAAAAAGGCTTGAATAGAAAAATACAGTTCTAAAATACCAGAATAAAAAACAGTGCTGTGTAAGATATGCATTTTTATTTTATGGGAAGGTAAACAAGTTTTCAGTCTGGTTTTAAATGAAGAAATAGTTGCAGTTTTCTGGGATTTTTTTTCAAAATATATGGAACATAAAAATTAAACACTGCTCCTCCATGTTTAACTCTGACTGCAGACCTGAACCAGAAGACCTGAGAGCTCTGGTTGGTGTCCGGTGCCTTGCTCAAGGGCACCACGGCAGGGCAGTAGGTGACCTGGGACCTCTCCAAGTAGCAGTCCACACTCCATATTTAGGTCTGGTCGGGGACTTGAACAGGCGACCCTACGGCTCCCAGTCCAAGCCACTGCCGGAGTAGGAGAGTAATGATTATTTTTTTGCCAGATAATATTTGAACAGAGAAATATCTTTTATCTTCCAGATCAACTTGTCTTTCCTTTCAACATCACAGTTGCTCACAGTACAGTTAGGCTAGGTTGAATTGTTTCTCATTCGCACTCAATGAATAACATCTATCATTATCTCATTTGTGATATAGTTATATAAGTCTTGGGTATTCTCTGGTTATAGTCCTACCACCGTGCTATCAGTGTGCCAAACAGGTGAATATTTGTAGGGGTTGTTAAGATAAGAAGGGGGCCAACGCAGTCATTTGTCTCACCTCAGGCCTAACTGACTGAGGCCTGCTTTGAAAAGACGCAGACAAAACATCAGGTAAACCACTGTACTAACTAAGATAGAACAAACATGTAAACAAGGCAAATGAGTAGATCCTGGACATATTGATTCTATAAACAGGTGGAATTTGTATTTATTTTTAATGTATTTTAAAAGCAGCTCTGTTGAATTTGAAACTTTAAGATGCTTTGTTTTAGGGTATCAATTGTATTATATTGCCAGCACCCAAGGACACGTTTCCCCAAGAACACAACGAAGCAAGGAAACAATCAAACCAATCTGTGGTCATTGTGCTGGTGTTGACTGGACTAAATTGTATTTAAAGGTGTTTCTGACATTTTGTTTAGTTGTTCCTCAACAGCGGTATTGCTTTATTCACTGTATCTTTAAAAAATGGACTAGGCTTCGTATGTATTTTTGTTATTTACTTTTTGATGATAAGGAGAACAGTGGGCTGGAAACGAAGGGAAGAAAACATCTTTGTGCATGTCTCATCATGAATACATATATTATATATTTCTTTATATATTATATTTTGTGTCCTTTCTTCTTTCTTTACAATTGATATTGAGATAATACAACACTACACACTCCGATACAGTAGTTGGCGGTATGCAGCCTTCAATTGGTTTGAGATCTGTTAACAAAACCACAGAAGAAGAAGTTGTTTCTTCTTGTTTATCATCCACATGACATCACGGTTGCGTGCTACATCAGTGGTCACAGAGGTCTGCCGAGAGGTGTCTGTGCTGCGAGATGTTGGCAGCAGCAGGTTTTAGTGGGAAGTTATTAGTAAGGTGTGTGAGAACATTACCTCCATATGCGGTGTCTCCTTCGTCTCTCTGTGGGGTCGCTTATTACAGAGGAAAAAAGACCCCGGCTAACAGCGGCACTCTGATCCCGAGCCGAGCTGCCAGCGGCGCGCATCACGCGACAGGTGAGGCAAGGCAAGGCAAGGCAAGGCAAGGCAAGTTTATTATATAGCACCTTTCAACACAAGGCAGGTGAGAGCTGCCTGGGGGCTCCTGTTCGATACCTGGAGACGGGAGGATAACACTTTAATGTTTAATACAGAGAGAAGAAGTCAGAAGCGACCCTAGATCAAGTATACAAACTGGCCCCTAATAATAAATCCAGCTGTAGTATTTTATCTGAGTCCATTTCAACTTGGTTTTGTATTTACATAAACCGGTTTCTCTTCCTCATAGCTTCAGTGGTTTCATTTTCTCCCTTCATTATTTGTATGACTTCAAATGAAGCTATCCCTGCTCTTATAACCTACTAGAAAATAACCCAATAAGTGACATACTAATCTTCCTCCAATAAAATGTGAAGATTTCTTTTTGACCTAAGGTTATGCAGTTGCACATCATTTAAAAAAACATTGTTATTACATATACATTACATTACATCTCATTTAGCTGACACTATTATCCAAAGCGACTTAGAATAAGTGCGATAAACCATAAAGATACAAACACAGAACAACAATTAAAGTAGTTTTATTTGCTTCAAAAAAGCCAAACCATTGAATGGCCGATACATTAGTTTCACTATTGCTCCATTTTTATTTTTTTTCTTCAATTGAATGGCCAGGTACATGCGAAACAGGTGGGCTTCAGTTTGCAGCTAAAGATATGTAGACTTTCTGCTGACCTGATGTCAATATCTGTGTACAGAAAAGCAAGATGGTAATTAATAAACATGACCCAAAAAGCATGAAGACAAAACCTGCTAAACAGGTCTATTAGTTGGGATGCTCTCATCTTTTATTGTTCTGCTTTCTGTGTTTGGTGGCACCCAAACTGGCTTGTCTGCTGCACCTTAGCCTTTTAATGTTGGGGAAAACCCTCAAAGCATATAACCTCAGGCATTGTTACATTTCCAATCCAATGCCCTGGAATACAGACCCAGACAAACCTCACAGGTATCTTATTTATTATACTAATGCCCTCTTATATTAACACCCTACCTGTTGCATGTGTCTGTCCCTCTGACATCACTGTAGCCTTCTGCACTGAGAGAGGCCAGCGCTGGGGCTTGTGGGTAGTAAAGTATTGTCTCACTATGTTGTCTTTCTCCCAAGGGAAGCTGGTGCGTAATGGCGAGGATAAGAAGGCAGTGGTAAGCCCCCATTCATTTCTCACAGTAAAGGACACACTTGATCAACACTCCTCATTTTGGATGCAGTTTCTACGGTGCCTTCCAAGTATTACAATTTTTACGGGGGAGTAAATGCTAATCGTAATGCTAAAAAACGAGCTTGTACCTCTCATTCGTGTGGACCGGCCTGATCATCTGTCTCTCTGTCGCTGTTTTCAGATCTGCATTGAGGGGAACATTGCCAGTGGGAAGACGACCTGTCTGGAATATTTCAGCAAAACTAGCAATATAGAGGTACGACTAAACAAAGTACTACACCAAAGCTGTGCATATTGTTGTTTTGTGTGCATGTGCTCCTCCCTCCAGGAAGTACCACTGTAGGTGTTGCACAAACAGAGTTTTACATGCACGACTCACGGACTGACGGACAACTTCTCACTTCAAAACATGTTTAAGAAATCTAAACCGCAAAATAATTAAACAAGCGAGTGCCTGTTTTTCCTGGCCAAGGACAAGTTCCTTGAACACAACACGAGCGTAACGTGTCTTCACGTGGTATATGTCCCGTCTGAAAGGGGTGTCACCATAGATATATATAAAACACTAGATCAGGGGTTCCCAACCTTTATTGTGCCAACTGCCAAGGACCGGCAGATACATTAAAAAAAAATCGCGGACCGGTTGTCAATTTTAACTGATTTTAATATGTACTCACCAGCAGGTGACAACAGAGGCTAATTGTATTTAGCAGCCTGAACAAATACCAATATGCATCCAAAACATATTAACAACGTTTAAAACCAGGATACAATTCAAACAAAAAAATTGGCAAGTATGGATCCCATGGGTTAGATCCGCGTTCATAATGTTTTGGTGGTCATTCCACAACCGTGCGCGAGTCATGGTAAGATATCTGGATTGAAAGAAAGGCCAAATGAATGGGTTGTGATTTTAGTTTTTTTTTAGCAGAGGTTGAGTTCAATAATTTGTACGGCCCTCTGAGGATGTTGTAAAAATGTAAATGGCCCTTGAGAGGAAAAAGGTTCCCCACCCCTGCTGTAAATAATAATAAAAACCCTTAATTTATAATTTAACATCTCTGTCTCTATTGATCTGAGTATATTATAAAGAATAGCCAGTTAATTGAAGCATTATAGCACAGGCCTTTGTCAGATGGTATATTACACAGTTTTTTTTCTGCTTCGAATAGTTCTCTCTTTTTTCACCATACGTGTGTTTGCATCCCTTTTTAATAAAGTGGACATTTGACACAAGTGACATAATAAGAAGGTTAAACTTTCGATTTAAAACTGAAGATTCTTTTGCATTTACACCTTTTGTGAACCCTTAATTTGCCTTTATACGCATATGAAATTAAGGCAGCTCAACATTTAAGGAAAGATGAGAAGGCAAATAAAAAATATGCACTCAGTTTTACATTCAGATGACAATTAAATGATTATACTAAGGCACACGACACTGCCATTATCAGTACTGCTCATTAATGAAGTTTCCCTTTCTGTTCTGATCCAGGTCCTAACAGAACCAGTCTCTAAATGGAGGAATGTCCGTGGACACAACCCTCTGGTATTGTAACCGACATAGTTGCTATCATTTTGTAATTTTGTGCAGTTCAAACATTGAATATTTGACAGGATCTTAGAGCATTACAATATGACTTTTATACTCCAATCATCTGCACATTTTGCAGTGTCAGTAAGCTGTTTGTATCCCACTTGATAAGCTGCATTCTTTTACAGTCTGACTACATGACACTAGATAGCAGTAGAGGAAGGAAAGAAGATGTATTCAACTACATTTTGTGTGAACTTACCCTTTAAATTCATAGCAATCTATGTAGTTGATTTACATTTTTTTTGTGTACTTTATGTAGAAGTGTTTATTAGCCTAATGGTGGCTTAGAGAAATCACCTTAAATGATCAGGATCCATCCTCTGGGGACCCTGAATATCCAGCGTAATCCCCATGAAGATGCATTGTGTTTGTGCAGTGTTTGGATACATGTTCTGTGTGCCTGCCATGCTGGCTGTCAGCTGTTCCTCTCTGTCCCTGCAGGGCCTCATGTACCAGGATCCTGAGCGCTGGGGCCTCACACTGCAGACATATGTCCAGCTGTCCATGCTGGACCGACACCTGTCAACCATAGTAGGTCTATTGTTGGCTAAAAATATTATGGTTTACACTGGTACGCCTTGACTGGAGAGAATTTTAACAGCGCTTCACAAGACATCCTGCACCAACACGTTGGCAGCAGGCCAGACTATGCAACACACTTCTCCCTACAACAGACTTGGCCCCTACACACCAAACAAACACCAAAGAACACGTCCCGACAGAACACGACCGTTGTGTCGCCTCACGTCTCTGCATCTTGGCCAACAGTCGCACTGGAACACACCGCAAAGACTTCAGCCGACGGCCAAGTAGCACGTACGAACTGCGCATGCGTGAGTGGCAATAACTCTCCTTACCAGCAGGCGGCGGTAGTGTGTATCCGTCATTCAAAAGAGGCAACCGGAAGACAGACTGCGTGATATATACAAACAACAAATAGCTACATGCTAGAGCTCGAACTATGCCAATATTTTAACAGTATCAGTGCAGTGCCTTTTCAGTGGGGCAAGATATAGCAAATATGTATGCCTATCCTGCTATTTGTGTTTATTCTTTTAATCACACAGCGTTAAGATGAAATACAAATGTGCCTACATAACTGTCAGTTGCAGCCGTAGCACTACAAACAGTCTATTTTTAAAACATTTTAAACAACACTTGAACAGCTACAACATTAAAATACTTCTAGGCAGATTGTGGACAGTAACAAAGTACATTTACTTAAGTACTGTAGCCTACTGCTCCACTCCCATTCAGACAAATAGTGTTTCACTAAGCTGAACAGCCAATCAGAGTGATTTCTTTTGCCGACAGCCTCCGCAGGCTCCGCGGCCGATTCACCATGTTGAATCGGCCGCGGAAGGTGTCGGCACGGCCGAAAAGACACAACGGGACGGGACACACCAATCTGAGTAGGGCGACAGGACGCTCATCGACGGCCAGACATTTATCGACGGCCGAAATCGGCTTGGTGTGTAGGGGCCTTTAAGTGCAGACACTTCTCTGTTTGGTTTTTGAAGAAAGGATTCAGCAAGTCTCCTGTTTACACATGAGTCTCAAGCGTTGCTATGGTGAACAGCTGATCTCTTCGCCTACACTGAAGAGCTGCCACCTGCAGTGGAGACAAATAAAGCTGTACCGTGCAATGGAAACGTGGCTTTAGATTACAACATTTGAATAATTGCTATGTCAACCTGCTTTGTCAACAGAAGGATAGCTGAGGTGTTGTGATGCAAACACATGACATTAGAATGTGATCAGCAGTATGTGCTTATTGTTTTTGTTCCAGTCAGCCCCTGTCAGGATGATGGAGCGCTCCATCTTCAGTGCCAAGTACATCTTTGTGGAGAATCTCTACAGGAGGTATGTGTGTTAGAACCTTCACGCCTGTCCAAAAGAGAAGAATAGATCCTCACAGCATATCATTTGATCTCAAATAATGCTGCTTTGAAGGATTCTGTTGTAGAACAATTGTTTTATGTCCACATTTCTCTGTAAGAATGAGAATGTGTGGGTGGGCAATATGAATTCAATTTCTGTCATGGTTTACAAATGTTATCACGATAGATGACATTTGATTCTGTATAAATAAATAACCAGGCTGAATATGTGTTGTTTTGGCTTAAACAATCAAATATATTACCAGCGACGTGAATTAACAGTCAGAAATATATCAATAATCCTTCACAGTACAACTAAACCTGTGATTTGATCATATTTCTTTTCAGTGGCAAAATGCCAGAGGTGGACTTCGCTGTCCTCAGCGAGTGGTTTGATTGGATCACAACTAACATTTCCATTCCTGTGGATCTGATTGGTGAGAATACAAAAACCCACATTTACTAAAGGTTTATTGAAATGAAAGATCTGCCAGACACAAAAAGAAAAATGGAGAATACAGTTACATTATTATAGGATCTATTGTCATCAGTTACTAAAAATAACACAGATTGTAATGTGTATGGTCGGGTATGGTGGTGTTTATTCTTAGCTGAGGAGTAGATTGTCCTGTTTGACCTTTTCTGGTTGACAAAGCCCTCTGAGGTTAAACATCACATCTCTGACATTAAACAATGCATTCTGTTTGATATGTTGCCGTCACTGCTAGAGGTAATATCCTAATGTTGCTTTATTTGACTGTAGAGGAGGTGGGGGGTTTGCAGCGTTCCTACCCTGATTACAAATGATCATATCTAAACAGAGATAGAACTCATCTGATAAAGTACATCTTTATACTCTTTTTTTTTTAAGCAACCATAACATCAATTCCTAATAATACACATTTCCAGAACACTATTTGGATGTATAGGTGTTCCCTCTGGATATGTTAAAGAAGGGAACATTGATATTCATTGAATATATTCCAGTCACATAAATTGCAATAATCTTTTAGCACTGCCAATCAAAGCAATGAAAAACCTGTCATTTCCCATGAAACCATAACATGAGTGGTCCCAACATTCAGTCTTAAAGGCATGATAAACTCTCCCCCCCCCTTGTCTCATTTGAATGTGTCTGACCCTCTCCTGTGGCTGCAGTGTACCTGCAGACGTCTCCTCAGACCTGCCATGAGAGGCTGAAGCAGAGGAGCAGGGAGGAGGAGAAAGTCATTCCACTGGTGAGGACGTTAACAATCACAAGATATGCTATAACAGTACTGACAAGCTGCCAACCAACTTAAAGGGAAGAGTGTGAAGACTATCATTTTGTTAATGGCTCACCATTGCACCACCTGTCCACCAGGAGTATCTGGAGTCCATCCACCAGCTGTATGAGGATTGGCTCATCAAGAAAAGCTCCTCCCCTCTTCCTGCTCCTGTTCTGGTGAGGCAGAGCAGATCTGTGTGTATAGTGGCCTGGTGGCTTTCTGAGCTGTGATCTATCTCTATCCCTCCTTTCATGTGATGTTATAGAGGCGTGCAGTGACAACATGTTTTCTAAGGTGACAAGGTTACCAACCCAAGGGCTCCATTTACATTTTTTTTTTTAAAACAACATTCACCAGCGAGGCATTTACTGATGTATTTTATGTTGTAGAACCAACTTCAAAAATATCTAAAGCTTGTCTTAACCACAGACCTTATTTCATCATCAAACCAAAATAATTTAAAAAACCTCTTGACTTCAAGACAAGGGAGTCCGGGAGTGCTAACATGCTGACTCCTTTCCACATGTGTTCCTGCATCACTCTATTGCCTCTCCTGGTGTCTCAGCAAACATGAAATGTGTGTTCTTGTCTCATGCAGTTCTAAACATGATGTTGTATGTGTGTGTGCAGGTGATTCCTGCTGACCAAGACCTCCAGGAGATGCTGCACCAGTACAAAGAAAACCGTGACAAGATCCTCACAGCTAGCTCTCTCTGATACCAAATTCACACTCTTCACTTTTTCGTAACTTGACAGCAGATTTCTCTTCAATGAACAACTATATTTCCAACTTCTGTTTAGTCAATAGGTATAAACAGGGGCTATTGTTATATTTAGTAGCTATTATAACGTTTCCTCACCAACAATGCATAACAATGGTATTCTCACTTAAAGGGTGTAAATGCTTCAGAGAATCTTAAACTGTTATAATAACTCAGTTTTTTAACAAAGCACTTAAACATTTCTTAACAGAACCTGAAAAGACTCAAACTTCAAACTGTGAGCTTGAACTGATTCATTTCTCATTTGCGTGAAGATTTCTGGTCATTTTTTATTTATTGGTTTGATGTATATTTCACCAAATTGAAATGCACTTAGATGTTGCTGTTACCCAGATATGATGTGTAATGTGTTGGATTGTTTACCTCAGTGAGTCCATCACAGACTAGACAAACACCATTCCAACTCCACAGATATCACATGTGGAAATCCACTGTACAAATATTTAATTCAAGTTGGGACAGGTTCTCCAATGTTTTTCTGTAACTCCTTTTAACTAAGGAACCTTTGCTATTTTTTTACGAATTTTACTATATTAAAACCCTCCTATTATCTTCGTTTCCCCCCCCTTACTTTGGTGTTCGCGGTCAAATTTGACCGGTCCTGTTTTAACTGCTATTACATTAACACAAAAACCATTAATCATCACCAAATTTCATTTAACACCCTTTCAAACTGTACATATTGTATCAGACTACTGGTATGCATGAACAACTGCAGTAAATATACAAAGAATAGACACTGAACATGTATTGCGTGTGCCGGGTGTGATCCATGTGGGGGGATGGGCACATAAGAGCGGGAAGTGTATCAAATTGGTGTGTGTGTGTGTGTGTTTCACATGGGGGGATTGGGCACATAAGGGGGGGGGATACATCTAGTGTGTGTGTGTTTCACATGGGGGGATTGGGCACATAAGGGGGGGGATACATCTAGTGTGTGTGTGTTTCACATGGGGGGATTGGGCACATAAGGGGGGGGATACATCTAGACTCTAGAGTATCTGTGTGTGTGTGTTTTATCTGATCCGGATGGTTACTATTTCCTTTTCTTTATGGCGGTCATGTTTGACCGGGAACACCATGGGTGTTACAAAGTTGACTAAATCATCCAAAGTTCAATGAAAGTGGTGATCAGCAATGTTATATGTTCAAATGTCTACTGTGAAGGATATCATAAAGCCTTAATGCAATCGAATGTAAAACGAAAAGGTTATGATTGATGAAAGTAGTAAATCGGTCAGATTTGACCCGAAGACAACAGGAGGGTTAATAAGTGTATTATGTATCTGCTCTTCTGTTGTTCACATATGTTAATTGAAGCATTTATAAGGAATAAAATATCAGATGTTTATACATCGTGGGGTATTGTAGCACATGGTTTGTGATCGTTTAAATGTGTAGACTGACAAAAAATGGTGCAACTGAATCCACTGGGCACCATTGTTCATACTGTACATACAGTCTAAAGCATGCCTTCCCACAGTCCCTTTTACTTTGAGTCCAGATTATTTAATCCCTGCAGTCACATTTTATCTCTTGTTTAATCGAAACAAAAATAATCCATGCACTGTGAGTTGTTTTTATTTCGTCCTTTTAAGAAGTTATTTTACTACAATCAATCAATACTTTAAAAAAACATGTGTCCACTTGTGCAGAGGTCACACAAACAAAACATAAAAATAACAAGGACACATGTCTGGCGATGCGAGGTCATAAAGTTCAGAGTCTGGAGGAGTTGAGCTCTCAGGTACAGCAGTATGCTTAAAGGTGGGGTATGTCATTTATTTCAGAAACACTTTTTGTTATATTCCATGGAATGCTCTTAACATCCCGATAGCAACAAATCCATAACAAAATGTCATCTGTGGAAGCCGTAGTACTGTAAAAAGCACGACCAATCATCTGAGCCGGCCCGGCTAAAATAACTGGATGGCCTACCTGCCTGTCAGCCTTCCATCTGTGCACAAACTTATCTCGTGCCCTCATTGGTCGTGTGTTGGAGGAGGGGCTCTGTAACGGGCCGTCTCCACAGCAGCGTTAAAAAATCTTGAAACGCTTCTGCCCATTCACTTTGAATGGGGTGACGTCACTTTCCCTCACTTTTCGCCGAAATGCATTGTGGGCAGGCGAGCGGAGATTTTCAGGATTTTCAAGATTCAAAGTTGAACAATGTTCAACTTTTGAGGCTGAGGTGGAAGCGGCAGCCAATCAAATCCCGTGTACGCAAATCTGGCAGTTCAAGCTCTAGCCAATCAAACGGCGTGTATGCTGGGAGAGACATACCGCAGGTCATTTCCTTATATTCCAAAAAATGGAGGAGAAATTAGCGGTAGGGAATCAATCACCCGGTGCTTTATGACCAGACCTACCGGGATATAAACCGGAGGAGCCAGGCATGGAGGGAGGTGGCAGAGACAGTGGTATGTTTTCGCCTGTTTTGGGGAGTTTATATCCAGTTTACTTCGGGCTTTTTGGCTTCGTATGTCGCGGGCGGGAGATTCATGTGATTAGTTGATCGCAAAAAAATCCCCAAGCCTCAGATACGCCCACCTCCAAGATTTTTTTAACGCTGCTGTGTAGACGGTCCGTAAGGAAGTGGCAGATTTTTTCCGGTTGTGTATTTTCAAATTCTAGCGCACTCGAGCTGGTTTCTCCAAAATTACCTACCCCACCTTTAATAAAGCAAAAATATTTGTAAACATGACCTTGCTGTTGACATGTCAATCCCAGCAGGAATCATCTACCACTCTCAAACTGCCTCTAACACTGTGGACTGGAGAAAACAGTCATACACTTACAATCATCACTGGAGAAACAACACGTGTTTTCATCTACAAGAGCAACTATCAGTGACACAGCAAGTACATATACCTGCAAACCAATAATAAAAGTGAAAGCCTTAAACAGAAAAAAATAACTTAGCCTAATGTTCATGTCATCATTACCATCAGCTGAGGGGAGGACATCAGTGTGTCAGCCTCCTGGTTGCAATTCTGAGATTTGGAAAATGTTCTACAGCTACTTTATCATCAACATGTGGGAAATAATAACAGGTCTGAACACCACTCAAGGTTCAAGGCTTTTATTAGTCATGCGTACATAGATACAGTGTAGTTATGTCCATTAAAATCTTAGGTCACAGGCTCCTCCAACAGTGCAACACAATAACACAGAAAAAAAATAGTGGAATAGCACAATAACAGTCTATATGCAAGTGATTGAATATGATATATTAGATACATAATTTGTAAATTGCAGCCAGATGAATGTTATGGATGTCAAAAGTTCAGGTGTTTAATAGTCTTCTGGCCTGTGGGATGAAACTGTCCCTGAGTCTGGTGGTTTTAGTCCGGGTGCTGCGGTACCGCCTGCCAGACGGCAGCAGACAGAACAGTTTGTGGCTGGGGTGATGGGGGTCTTTTGTAATCCTGACAGAAACAATTAATTAAATGCAATATTATTGTACACAATAAACAGGATTTATTTATCTTTTTATTTATTTATATGTGGTTTCACTGAATATTTATCTGGAGAGACTCAACACGTGTGTCCTGTGTCCAACAAGCTGCTTGTTACATGCAGAGCAGCTGCAGACTCTCCTGAGTCACAGCAGAGTTCCACCTGAGTATGCATCAATGGGGTTTTTGCATTTGTTATTCAATCTCATTCTTTTAAAGAGACAATAGGCATCTAACTTATCATTCGGAAGAAAATAGTTTTGTACAATGTAATGTCTATAGGATATTGACACCATCTTTGCTATAAGCCTCTCTTTCACTCTGCTATCCTTCCACCAGGTCGCTGTCCCCACAGGAGATGAGGCTGCATTTAAGTACGAAAAAGAATGCTTACGTTTTCAGACACTGTAGGTCTGTAGTCTGAACAAAGATGGCACACTCTTAATGGCTCCTGCAGCCGCACATTCCATTGTTACCTTTCACAATAAAAGCCCTACACATTTACACTACATCATCACTGCTTACTAGAGTGCATTTTGCCAGGAGACAACAAACAAAAGGCAAAGAAGAAGGGTGGTAAAAAACATTCTTTCTTCTGAGCCAGATCATTTCAAGTGGAAAATGCTCTCAGTTTCCATTTGAAATATGTACAGGTCAATCTTGGTCGATATTGGAATTGCTGAGTATTGTTATTCATCATTTCCATCAAGTAAATCAACCTTAAGAGCATTTGATGTCTTGTGAAGTTAGAGCAGGGGTGTCAGACATACGGCCAGCGGGTTGACTTTGCAAAGTTTGAAAATAAGATTAGCAATTTTCTCAACTTTTAGGTATTTTGTATTTATACATTTACAAGGCAGGGGTAAAACGTGTCCCCAGTTTGTAGGTGGTGTGTCAGTTCAGAGGGTCAGGATTACTACACTAGTTACTGTGATGTGTAAGTTGTAATGCACATGTGTCAATTATAAACTGAGGCATTCAATTGTTGAAATTGCACTTATTTATCTTAAGAAATGTCAGGTTGTTCATAATGTTTTGAAAAAAGATAGTGGATTAAAAAACATTTTCGGAATGTACTTTTTTGCACTCAAACAAAGGGAAGGAGTTGTGGTTTTAGGTTATTATGATAGGACTTTACTGGTCCACTTGAGGTCAGATTTGTCTGTTGTGGCCCCTGAACTAAACTGAGTTTGCCGGCCCTGTGCTAGAGGATAACAAAGCTCTGAGCCAGCTCCTCCTCCCCCCCCCGGCCCGTCTCTCCTGCACAGACCTGGCAGTCTGCTGTCCTGCTGCTCAGCGGGGGGGTGCCGACACCCAGCGGGCTGCTGCTGCTCCCTCTCCTCCGCAGGATGGAGCTGAGAGGAGGCAGGGGGGCAGGGGGCTGGACCCGGCTCCATCAGAGGGGTCCTGAGGGTCTGCTCCTCGCCCCCCCCCTCTGCGCTGGTCTTCCTCTCTTTCCTCCTCCTCTCCTTTTTCGTGTTGTCCTCTTCTCTTTTGTGATGTCTTCCCTTCCCTTCCTCACTGGTCTCCTGCACACTGAGTTGGTCCATCCTCTCTCTGAGCTCTTTGAGCATCTGACCCTCTTCCAGGGAGCTCAGAGAGGACAGCTTCGGGGGGGCGGCGGTCTTATTCTGAAGCTCTGTGGAAATCAGAGTTTCACGTTTATACTGCGGGTGTATTTTCAGTACAGTGAGAAACAGAACCTTTGATTCTTGAGGTAAATGAAAGTTGAAAAAGAGAGTCAGTAATGTAATATTGAAAATGAGGCTTAGGCTTTGTGATAATAAACTGACGTTTTGTATTCTGTGGTAACACCCTCTCATTATCTCTTCTCAGGCCCGATTGACGCAGGTGTGAAAGCATGCAGTGCACTTAGTTTCATATTTAGAAAATCTGTGTGGGCTTCTCTCTGTGCACCTATTAGTTTGGCTCATATATGTGCTGTGGTGGAAAATATTCAAGTACATTTAAAGTACTGTACTTAGGTATACTTTTGATTTACTTGTACCTTACCTGATTAGTTTCACTTAATGCTACTCATTTTCAGGTTCATGTGTGTGGGAGAGAAACTCCCTATGAAGGGAACACAGGGATTTGAGCCTTTGCAGACCACATATATCATATATCACACACTACAGGAGAGGGAGACCCCATTTCAATCAGGAGAGACGTTGATGTATGAAATACATATTTATTACCGGGACACATAATATGAATGTAATAATGATTGCCACAATTATAACAGGAGAATGGAATGGTGTTTGGCGATTAGGCCCCAGTTTGCAGGATAATCATTCAGGAGGGGGAAGAACCGCTCCAATGAAACCCCCCGGGGTCTAGACACTGGTGGTGGTGATAAGTAGGTGGGAACGGACTGAAGGGAGAAGGTTAGCTTGGTCCTGAAGGAGACGGGAGGCGAAAGGGGTGGAGGAGGGTTGCGTTTTGTCACCTGAAATGACAGCTGACAGAGGGAAGAGCAGATATAAAGGGATTAGCGGGAGCTATGATAGGCTTGTGAGAATGGAGAGAGGAGAGATTGGTTAGCTGGGGAGAGACGCCCCCGATCACTTAATGAGGGAGGAGAGTGTAATGAAGTGACGTGTAATCTGAATGAAGAGCTTGGTCTTCCTGATTGAACTTGCGCTGAGCTTCATAAAGCAGAGCCTCTTTTAGCTATCCAGCAGCAAGTCATTGAATTTAGCCCCAGCTGTGATAAACTAGACTTGATAGACAAATAATTCAGGAATCCCATGAATATTATTCTGAAATGAGCCATTAAGCATCAAGACTACTTCCACCTCTGTGTAAATAGGGCAGCACGACTTGTAAAAGTACTGGTGTAGGTGCAGATGAATCAGCTGGTATGGTGAATATTGAATCAAACTAGTTTTGAATGCTTTAAATGGAGTGTTACCTGCTGCAGAGTGCTCTGCTGTGGGCTGAGGGTCTCCGGGCTTCAGGCTCTGCTCCCCTTTAGATCCAGCTCTCAGAGTGATGTGGAGGGAAACACCCAGAGGACCACAGAGCTCATCTTCCCCTCTGCCTCCATCAGTGGTACTACTGCTGAGGGGCTCTCCTAGGGGGGCGCTCCCTCCACTGATCCTGTCAGAACAGCCACTGCCTCTGCTTTCTTCACCCATCACTCCCTCAGCTGTGAGGCCATCCTCCGTCCTGTGGACAGAGGGAGCAGCAGCTGTGGTGCCTCCATCAGCTCCAGCCTCGTCACAGTGAGTGTTGGTGCTGCCCGGAGGACCCTCTCTCCCTCTGCTGTCCTCTCTGGCGGCCCTGTGCGGCACCAGGCGGCGGCCCTTGAAGGACAGGTCAGGGTAGGACTTCTGCATCTCCAGGATGGACTGATCCACACTGGTGAGGTGGTTGCGGCGGGGCTTGGGCTGAGGCTTGAACGCCAGCCGGTTGTCTAAACTCTGAGGATCCTGGAGAAATAGCACAGATGTGTGTTAGCAGGTTCTGCAGGCCTCAGGCTGTTTGGTGAAGTATTCTGTCACTGTAGACCTTCTCATTTAGCATTAATACAAGTAGTGGGTGAAGATTTTTTACTTCAATAAAAGTAGCAATACTACATTTGAAAAGTACTTTGTTACAAGATGAAGTTCTGCATTCAAAATCTTACTTAAGTAAAAGTACAAAGGTTTTGGGATCAAAATAAACATAAAGTACCAAAAATAAAAGTACTAAAGTAAAAGTACTCGTTATGCGAATCGTATAATGAGTTACTGGTTTACCATTATGATTATTCATGTGTTTTTACCCCACAATTGGAGCTCATTTGAATAACTTGATATACTGCTGCTGGATATCTTAACCAATAAATATATGTGTATATGTAGGTTTATTTAAAGGGGACCAATCATGCAAAATGCACTTTTGTACGTCTTGTATACATGAATATGTGTCCCCGGTGTTCCAGGGAACTCACCAAGTGTCAGAAAACACAACCCTCTCTATTTTCCTCCATACCCAAATCTCTAAAAAAGGGGCTGCAACGGATCTGATCAAAACTGATCCAGATGTGAACACTGTCCTGACGTCAGGACGGTGGTGCTACGGCTATTGGGCCAACTCCACCAATCAGGAAGAGACAGCCACGGCCATTGCCGTTCGAAAGCGCTGGAGACGCTGTAGTACATATGCCAGGCCTGTAAGTGGCGCTGTAGTCTGCCACAAAAGCAGCGAAGAAGACTTGGTTACCATGGTTACCCTTCTGTTTATTCTCCGCTGTGGCTTTCTTTCTCCCTCCCCGAGGCAAGCGTTTGCTCCTGCTGCTGTAATTCAATGCAATCCCTCCCGGTCGAGGCAAGCACTGTAATTCTCTCCGGTTAGTCCACCAGCAGATGACAAACGTGCGGCAGAGTTTCAGTTTCAGTTACTTTCGCCGGTCAAGATGTCCGTTAAAGTTTAAATCTTCCGGACAAAATTAGAAAAGTGCCGGTCAAAGGTCTTCTTTGTTATTTATTGAGCTTTAAAACAAATGAATAACGACTCTATATAATAAAACACGGAGGACGGAGATCTCTTTTTCTCCCCCTCTTCTGACAGCCCAGCAGCTGATCAGAGCACGTCTCCCCTCTCCTGCAGGGGGGCGTGGTCAGCAGAATCAGACCCGTAGACAGCAAACAGCACATAGAGTGAAATGAGGCATGGCTAAAATGCATGATCTGTTTGGTATTTTGAAAACAGAAACGTATAAATATACCTTATATAGGTATGGCCCTACAATATATCATTTAAATATAGCATGATAGGTTTCCTTTAATAATTTATTTATATTTTGTATTATAGTAACTAATAAACTAGTAACAAAAGCTGTCGGATAAATGTAGTGGAGTAGAAATATAAAGTAGCAATAACTGAGAATACTCTGGTAAAGTACAAGTACCTCGTTGTACTTAAGTACCGTACTTGGGTAAATGTACTTTGTTACTATCCGCCACTGAGTACCAATGGAGATCCTACCGAAACATGGTGAGTCTTGATTTGACTGTGACACATTAAGACGAGTGAGTGCATTTGAAGATAGCTTGAGTATTCATATTTCCCATCCCATATGCTACATATTGAGAATACACTAGAGTTGGTACAGAAGGTAGTGGATGAAGGTACATTGCTGACAGAACCACGTGAAACAACTTTCACATGCTGTGCTTTAACACACTGTTCTTGACAAAAGCCCTTAAGATGTTACTGATAGCACTCATAAACATCATTCTATAAATGTGATTCATTCTGTTGTTTAAAGTTGTGTAGTGTTTCTCATTGTATGTTGCTACGATGAGTAACATGTTGATCCATTACTGTTCTGATAGCAGGAAGGTTGTGTTTCTGATCTGTTCATCACAGCATGAAACCCGCACTGTTTGATATGCATTCATTTGACCGATATCCTGTCAGCTCTCTTTCATTTCCCTTCTTCTAATTGTCATCACAGCCAACCAGCCATCTGTCTTACCTCTCTCCTATCTGCCTCCTCTTCCTTCTTTATCTCCTCCTCCTCTTCTTCCTTTTGACCATTAGTTGTGTTCTCTTCTGTGTTCTCTTCCAGGGTGTTCGGCCCTGCTTTCCTCTGGAGAACATCCAGCCACTCCTGCAGAGAAATCAGACCGGTCACATGAAAGCAGTTGAACTAGACTGAATCACTTTGACCATGGCTGCCATTCAATCACATTTCATTGTTGGGTGGGGGACAGGGGGTCACTGAGTATCCCCATCAGTATGGTATGTTTATATTCCATAGTAATGAGCTGCATGCACTGTTTGATCATTGTTCAGGGCAAAATGTTATTCAATATTACGAGCCATATGTCTGATATAGGTGTTTCTTTTTTGCAGTTGCAATCCTATTCCAAAAGTACACCTCTGTCATGGCTTTCTGATTCCTATCATTCCTATCATAGTTCTTTATGCGATTCTGGTTTTGTTTCCTCATAAAGTTACTTTCTATTTTGATCTAATTTAAAACTTGGAGTTCTTCCTTATGCGCTACAAGGGTTAGTGGATAGAGGGTGTTGTATGCTGTAAAGAAAATAAAACCCTGTGAGGCTAGTGTATAACTTATGATATTGTGCTTTATAAATCATGTGATCATCATGTGATTTGATATGATTTGGATTTTCAAAGCTTTGTGAAGGATTTGGTTTCAGTTTTTTAATTAGTTTCATTTTTGCACAGACTCAGACTCTTCTGAAAGGATTTTCATTCAAATAGAAATCCCCATATGGACTTTATTAGGTAGACATTTTAATTGACTATACAATTGGATGCTGTTTGATTATATTATCATTTGATGATTTATGGTTTACCTGTGGTCCCAGCCTCTCCAGGAGCTCCAGCAGGTTGGAACACTCCACCCTGGCCAGCAGCAGCTGGAAGCCCAGCAGCTGGGCCCTCTGAGGGTCCGCCTCCTCACTCAGTCTGTATTCACTGAAACATCCAACTGTTAGACAGCTCAGGAGAGCAAGACCAAAGTGATGAGGAGAGCAGACCAAATGCTGAAACTGCGGCTTTCTCCATTTGCTTCAAGATTCACTCCACTCCCATTCAACCCCAAACCCCCAACATGTACTCCACCTCACTATTGACAAAACCCAACACAGCTGACAGTTAGGTTTACAGTTTTGAGACTTTGTGTAAATATTGGGAGATACGACATGTACTTGTAAATAAGATTTATTTGCCATTTTCTTGACATGCTTTGCTTAGACATTTTGAAAAAGGGGCAATATACCTCCGCCAGCTTTGTTGCCTTTTTTGGCAATTGTTTTGCTCCGTCAGCACTTCACTTAACTCACATCATTTAAGTTCAGGCAGCGTCTATCCATTTCAGATCAAATCACACCCACCCACTTTCATATGACAAAGTCCTTGTTGAGGCAGCATTGAAATCTGCATTGATGCTAATTAGCTAGCTAGCGCACCCTCAAATCTCCCCCTCACTACACACTGATGGGAGACTGTTCTTCATCGGGAGGAACAGACTTTCTGGCAGCAGCTGAAGAAACTCAAATCAGCTATTCTGTCGCGCTCTGATGACATAATTTCACGTCTACAGGAAGGAGAGAGAGGCTTGTGCTGTGATTGTAATGGCAAACTGTTAAAGGTAAATGAGACAAATAAAGTCATAATTATTTAAAGCATCATAAATCACTGTATCCAATCACAGGGAAGGGAGGTGTCCAGACAATACTAGCCAATCACAGCACAGTCAGACGTGGTAAAGTCTTAGATGGGCTGGATAAACAATTGACAAGTTCAGGCAAATGTCACTGTTTACACAAATGTGTGTGTGTGTGTGTGTGTGTGTGTGTGTGTGTGTGTGTGTGTGTGTGTGTGTGTGTGTGTGTGTGTGTGTCCTACCTCAGAGCAGTGTCAGTGTGGGGCAGGTAGCCGATGGAGGCCAGGACAGACTGGATGGTGGAGCTGCTGAGCACTGGCAGGAGATGGTAGACGAACGGACCTGTATAAGTCTGAAAGAGACACACAAACACATTATACATACATCTATAACTAAATGAAAATGCATTTATTAAGATCTTTAAGTGTTGGTAATTACATCATTTTTTACCAATTGATATCACATGTACGTGTGTATATGTGTATACTGCGTCTTATCTCAGTGTCTCATAACACGAGCACCAAAACGTCAACTCCATACCGTGTCTGAGGTCGGAAGGTAAACAGAAGCATACAGCGGAAGCGGAAGTTTTTTTTCTTCTTCTTCTCTCGGTATTTTGGCGAATTGCAACTTTAAGGTGCATACCGCCACCTACTGTACTCGCCGTGAAGTTGTTTGCGGCCTGCCAGTAAACCCAAAGCAGAAGAAGAAGAAGTGACGTCAGCGGTTCATTTGTCTAATCCACCCCCAGGAACTCATTTTGGTGTGAACGCGATCTGCTTTAGTTCATCAGAACTAAAAGAACTCTCATGAACTAAAGTTCTCATGAACTACTGTGGGAAAAGTACTTGGTGTGAACGCCCCTAATGTTCAATCACTGCTCTCAGGTGTTTCCTCTTTCAACAACATCATGCACATAAACAGGAAGTGGAAAAACCCTTTAAAACTATCTGAACCCTTTTTTTAATAAGAGATTCATTTCAGAAATAAAATAACCATGTACAAAACCCTAACCCTAACCCAAAACATTCAAAGATTGGCATAGCTCATTGAATGGATTTCAAATGTTTTTTGTCCAATACTTCAGTTCAGGGTTAAACTAACAAACAAACACACACACCAGACCCGGTGCCAGAACAAATCTACAGAGAGGGCATATGATTTTCATGGGAGGGCACACAAAACCGTCATGCGCCGCGGCCAGTATCGGCGCGAAAGATTTTCTTTTGGGGGTGCTGTGGGGTAGCTTGACGTTTCATAGAGGCTGCTCAAACATGTAGGGTTTCCCATTAAGGTACCGGGCGCTACAGTGGAATTTTCTACTGCAACACTCACATGCACATACACAGTGTACCCTGCGACTGTTACAATGAAGGCTCGATAATCAGCTCACGGCATATACGTGTAAGCAGGGGTAAAGTGCTATTTTTTTTAAGTGGGGGGTGGACCTAACCTCCTCTAGGGGGGTCCGGGGGCATGCTCCCCCAGGAAGATTTTAATATTGAAGTTAAATAAACAGATTTACTATTTCTTTATGGATATTTTACAAATCACTCCCCTTTTAAACTGTATTCTTGTTTTACTGTCATATACTGTAGTATTTCATACCTGTTTTTCATGTATTACTCTTATATTACTATCTGACATAACATACATCGTAGCCTTAAAGGTAGGGTAGGTAAGTTTGAGAAACCGGCTCGATATCGCTAGAATTGGAAAATACACAACCGGAGAAAATCTGCCACTTCCTTACAGAGCCCCTCCTCCAACACACACGAACGCGCACATGACCAATGAGGGCACGAGATAAGTTTGTGCACAGATGGAAGGCTGACAGGCAGGTAGGCCATCCAGTTATTTTAGCCGGGCCGGCTAAAATGATTGGTCGTGCTTTTTACAGTACTACGGCTTCCACAGATGACATTTTTTTATGGATTTTTTGTCAAAGCACTTAAAGGGCCCATGTCATGGCCATTTCCACTGATCATAATTACATTGTTGAGGTATACTAAAATAGATTTATACTGTGCAATTTTCCAAACTCACATTGGTTTCGCATACAGCATCTCTGTCAAGCATGTGTATTCAGCAGTATTCACTTTCTCCACTAAACGACTCGTTGGAGCTCTTGCCCCCCCCCTCCCTGTGAGCCTAGTGTGCTCCGATTGGTCAGCTCGGCCACTCGTTCTGATTAGTCAACCACCAGAGAGGCTGCGCCCATGTCTAACAGTGCTTTTCCCGGCTGCTCTCAGCGTAACATCAGTCTTATCATGGCGTCGGTACAGCCGTATATTTTATATACATATATATTTTTAACTGTTGTTATAGAAGAGTGTGACGGCCCCAGGGCCTTTGTCTTACGATGGGGTGGAGCTGAAGAGGCTAATCAGCACGATCACGGACACCTCCGGAGCCGAGGTCCAGCTGCCCGGAGTCACACGACGGCCCCAGTGTCTCTCCAAAGCGGCTGCAGGAAGACTAACTCTGCGATCCTCTCAACCACCTATCTCTGCATTTACCACAATAAATGTGCCGTGGTTTTGTAAACTCGTTTATGTCTCCTTGTCTTTCCGTTGTGGCCTACGAGCCGCTCATAACAAAGAGTAAGTTATTTTTACCCGTTATAAACTACTACTGTTTGATGAGAAATCAAATCATGGTTTGCTATATATGAATTCAGGGAAGAAAGGATAGGCCTACTAAGTATTTCCATTAAACTTTATTTTAAGAAATGTACAAAATGAACATAAATATACATATATACACACGGTATATCCTCCTCGCATCTTGCCTGCGCACAGTCGGTGCGGTGCCTTTTAGCACGAGGCCTCAGTAGTAGTAGAAGTCTCTTCCCCGTCATGGATTGTCCGCCAGGATCTGGCTGGACGAAATCAAATGCAAATCACAAAATATTAGAGAAACTTAGTTGTTTTAGATTCGTTAGTAGTAGTTGTGTAATGAACAGCTTGCCTGCTAATATGCTAACCTAGCTTTGTTTACCTTGGTAGCTAACACGATATGAACGTTAGCTTGGAGGAAAGGCAACTATAATGCAGTGTAATAAAACTACTATGAACAAAAGCTAGTGGTTCATATTAGGCTAGCAATAACGTGTTTATAATTGCAATCGTATACGGGTATTCTGCTACCATACAATGTAACTTGCATGAATACATTGTTTTGCGCTAGCATACAGCTAGCCTTGTTAGCTACATGCAGTATGTACTGTCACAATGTACGGTAAATCACCCGGAGTATACTGTATGAGTATTCCGTGTGTGTGACTGCAGACATTCTCCTGCCATGACAAACATGTAAGGCCATCTGCTGACATTGTAGTTGATATATTTAAACGCTAGCAACGCAGCATCACAAAAATGTTTTTCCGACCAAAACTAGCTCTAGCTCCGTGTGTTAGATCGGTTGCATACACGCTACGCCAGCTATAATGTAATTACGTTTCGCGACTGACCGCACGGCAAATCACCCGGAGTATACTGTCAATAGGTATTTTGTGTGTGAATGCAGACATTCTCCTGCTATGAGATACATGTATGCAAGGCCATCTGCTGATATTAGAGTTGATATATGGAAACTCTAGCAACTTAGTTAGCACAGTTAGCACTGTGTCAATGGCTTAGCAGTCCAACACAGTTTACACATTTAAACAGTCTTGTTTGATAAATACACAAATAACAATGCAAACTTACAGGTTGTATACCCAGATCTTCCCCTGCTCCAAACGGTCCAAACAAGCTGTGCATATCCGGCCTCAAACTGGGCAATGTTTTGGAAGCTTTCGTCTGTGAAATGCCGGTTCTTCGAACCTCTGGAGGAGGAACACGCCGCTGCTGGTGTGGCCATAGCTCTTCGGGATTGGTCCATTTCGTTCCGGGTACCGCATGACATCAGGCGGTACCCGGAAGAATCAAATGGGCAGTGACGTATCTCCAACGAGGCGTTTTGGGGATGGTATTTTCTGTGTTAGAGTTTACTCTCTACAGTGGTTGTACTTTGAGGGTTTTGACTCTGCACACCGTTTACATGCATAAAAACCTTCATAACACACAAGGGGACGGGTAATAACCGGAAAAGCATGACATGGGAGCTTTAAGATATTCATTGCTATCGGGATGTTAAGAGCATTCCATGGAATATAACAACAAGTGTATCTCGAGCCGGTTTCTCAAACTTACCTACCCTACCTTTAAAGTTCACAGTTTATTTATAATTAAAAAAATAAACATTTATAAAAAAAATAAATAAATAAAAAAAAAACGTGTTTATTGGGGGAGGGGCAGGAATGTCAAATGGGAGGGCCTGGCCCTCCCACAGCGCTGGGTCTGACACACACACACACACACACACACACAACACAACACACACACACACACACACACACACACACACACACACACCACACACACACACCACACACACACACACACACACACACACACACCACACACACACACACACACACCACACACACACACACACACACACACACCACACACACCACACACACACACACACACACACACACACACACACACACACACAGTGAGATTATTGCAAGAACGTACAAAGGGTTTTCACTCCATTTAGAGAACTTTGTAAATGCTCTCCATATTGTGTGAAAGGGTTTCTCTTTGTTAGCTTCTTCTGACATTATCCTTAAAGGTTTCCATTTTAAGTTTTTTAATTGGTCTGTGATGACATCATCCCTTAACAAACCTGGAGCCAGGTAGCATTTGTCTGAAAAATCATACCAGATAAGAAAGGGGAAGAATGTTGGTGGGGGCCCACCAGCTCCAGGTCAACCTAGCAAATAGCCGCTTTCACACCAAGTACTTTGCCGTACTTAGTTCCCAGCACTTAGTACCCCATGGAACTAAGAGCCGATCGCGTTCACACCGGAATACATTTCCTGAGGGAAGATTACGCAAATGAAGCCGCTGAAGTCACTTCTTCTTCTTCTGCTTTGGGTTTACTGGCAGGCCGCAAACAACTTCACGGCGTATACTGCCACCCGAAGTCCCCGGCCGGAAGTCCCAGGAGTTGGGGACTGGCTTCAGTAGAATTAGAAGCTTCAGTAGAAGCTGCTGGGACTCCCACCGAGTAAATCGCCAGAACGCCGACACCTCTTCATCACTCCACCGCTCCAATGTTTTTTTTTGTGTTGCCATAAGTTATTCTCTCTCCGTTGGTGTGCGGGGCTAATGCTAATGCTAATGCCAGCAAACACAATGGCGGCTTCAAAAAACTTTTCCGAGTTTTACGGGGCGTGGTTTGCAATTCGCCCAGCCAATCAGAAATTGGAACTTTTTTCTACCCAGGAAAGTACCTCTCTAGCAGGCACTAAAAAGGGGGTAAAAGTTCTCATGAACAGTGTTGCCAACTTGGCGACTTTCTCGTTAAATTCGGCGGCTTTCCAAACCCTCCGGCTACTTATTTTTGTCAAAAGCGACTAACGACTAATTTAACGACTTGTAATGGTGTTATTAGGGTTATTATTTTCTGGTGTTTGGAGACTCACATATTGTTCAGCAGTTAACGAGCCGCGGGTGCTGCCGTGAGCCCCTCTGCCCTCCCATAGTACTCACAGGCGCTCAGACTCACAGTTGCCTCCCGCAGCAGCTCAGCTGCAGTCAGAGCAGAGGAGACAGCCACACTCTCCCGCGTCGAGACTGCAAATGAATTGCTCATGAGCGGGATTTAAATGTAAAATGTAAATGTTTCTTCACTGTCACTGTCACACTATAATAAATAACTGCCTTTGCTTTACTTTGACTCACACAGCCTCAGTCACTTAATCACCTCGTCCACTGTGTGTGTGCCTCTGTGACAAGCTAAACATCCACGTAGGTCATCATGTCACAGTCTAAACTGTATTCACAAAAGTACAGAAAGGAGTGGGAATCAAACCCTGAGTTTAAAGGATGGTTGAAGCCATTTATTGGAGATGACACACACGGGCATACTATACTGCCTTTATTGTAAGGGAGATTTCTACTAAAAACTACTAAAACTACTTTCTACTTTTTTTAATAGAGACATTTCTGATTTACTGTCGTCTGGATTTACTCTGATGGTTTCAAGTTTTGATCCTTGAAGGGGGTGGAACGTTTTTTTACCGCTATTACATGATATGCAAATTAGGCGATGACGTCATTTAGGGACTTCTGGCGACTTTTCGGACAGCCAATAGCTACTTTCCTTACTATGGAGTTGGCAACACTGCTCATGAACTAATGGCGCATTTCCATTGCAGGGCCTCGCTCGGCTTAGTACGGTATAGTTAGGCCTTGTTAGGATTGGCTCACTATATGCTGCGTTTCCATTACAGTTTAGTAGTTGGGGCAGTAACTATAGTAACGCAGTGTAGGCGGAGCATCTTCAATGCGAACCACAGAAAACCAACATCAGCCGTTAGCTGTTAGCACTCAGAGCTCACAGCTCTTCATATCTGTTCAGAAACTAGACAAAAGTTAAACAAGTACAAACCACAGACTGTCTGTGTCATGGCGAATACAGTCGCTGCTTTATTTATGTCTGTATAGGCCATTGTTGTGAGTGTGGACGGTCGGAGCATATACTGCGTTAGCTTAGCCGATCTCCATTTAGAAAACACGCATTTTAAAAGGTTTTTCGCCTGCTGTCTGTCTGCAGACTTGTCAAAGCATTAATTCATGGTTTTTACTAACCGTATGTTGTTACTTCGGCATCATTTTGAAACGTGTATTACAATTAAATCACGGTCAAATATGTTCATTTTGTTGTAGTTGTAACCCAGGGGTGCCCAACCTTTTTTTAACCGAGAGCTCCTTTTAAAGTTGCCAGTCTGCCGAGATCTACCAGTCCAAATAGAGAGGCGTAGCCATTACTGACAGCCTACTACCAGGTAAATACACACTTCTACTTGTATAAAACTGACCTTTGTACGATTAATACTTCATAAAATACTGCAGATCCTTTATCTTACCTCTTTCTAATCTACACACATACAAGTATTTAACTGAAGTTACACAACAGTGTTGTTGATACAGAGTTGGAGTTTATTCACACGTCACATACTACAGTGGGTCATGTTTTCAAGAAACATTGAACAGTGCTGCCACATATGACACAGGAAAAAAAGAAGAGACTCTGAACCCTTTCTTTGCCATTATATAAAAACAGTGTTGCTACAAAAGTATAAATTAGGCTTACTAATAAGACAACTCAGATCTGGAGCTACACAGGAATCTGCTGCCAAAGTGCAATAAAAAAGACAAAATTAATAGAATCAAACCCTTTTTTTGTTGCATTTTAGTAGAGTATAAAAAGAAATGCCTTTAAAATAGGATGCAAGCAACACTAGTTTCTTAACCTGAATTGATAATAGACTATAATCAATTTAAACAGAACAGATCTTAATGTTTGCATTCTTATACCATTTTGTACAATAATTATAATGAATAAGTTCAAACAAACTAAAACTTACAGCTGATTAATAACGGTATCTAACTTGAGTTTTTATTATATCAAAAACCTGTTGAAATGCTACTGTTATTTTTACTGTCCCCAAAAAGCGCGTCGGCAGCCTCCAGGAATGCTTCTTTCACAACTTCGCCGTCTTTGAAAGACTTCATGTGTTTCGCAAAACGTGACTGACACGATAAGATGCTATGGTAGCAGCCTTGCTCTTGTTGTTGGGCCTGGTGAAAATTGACTGCTGTGTATTTAGCTGTCCTTTCAGGTCCCTCACCTTTTGGGAGCGTAGGGCAGAATTAGGAGGGAATCCCGTCTCGTAGCGTTTGTGCACTGTTTTGAAATGCCACTCCTAAATTACTCTTCTTCGATAAAGCCACGCTCGCATTGCAGATGAGACAGATGGACTTTGAATTGGAATAGATACAAAAATAATCATCCTCCCACTCGGAGTGAAAATTATATATTTTGGGCTTTTTTGCTTCTGCCATAATTGCGGTCTTGTGTGTGTGCGGACTGTCACTCCTAACTAGTGCCCACTGCCCACCAGCCACGCCCCGACATATGGGGTCACGCCGGCCAATCACAAAGCTTTGATGCGTTCAAGTGTATTATTCTGGCACAGGAAGATTATGTTATAGGACATTAACGATAAAACAGAATATTGTTGTTCTATTTTTAGACACATCTCGCGATCGACTGGGAATCTCCCCGCGATCGACTGGTTGGGCACCCCTGTTGTAACCCCTTGCCAGCGATTCTCTCTCTAGTTTAGCATACTCAGCCCGACTCAGCCTGGTTGTTGGCCCGCTAAGAACCTCGATTTTATGGGGCCAGAAAAACTGTGAAATAGTACCCGCTAGCTGGTACTACGCCAAGTGGAAACGCAACCAAAAACGGGCCGTGCACAGCACGGCACGCTTAAACAGCACTCCGCGCTGTAGTGGAAATGCGCCTTAAGTTCTCTTTTTGGTGTGAACGCAAAATCCCAGGAACTATCGGAACTTAACGGGAAAAGTATGGGGAAAAGTACTCCGGTGTGAAAGCGCCTAATTGAAACCTCCTCTGTTTAGAAATCATAGAAATGGCAGTTTTTCTCAAAAACGTTGGTATTATTTCAGCTGTCTTGCTTCAATTGCCACATTTTGAAAGGAAACGTTCTTGTAATTCAGAGCAGAGCATATGTGCCTCTGGCATACGCAGCATACCCCTCATTTTTAACTAATTAAACGCATTTCAGTGTTGGGATTAGGGTTGCAAAATTACGGGAATTTTCAAAGATGGAGACTTTCCATGGGAATTAACGGGAATTAACGGGAATATGATAAACAGGGAATTTTCTAAATTGAAGGTTGGCTCTTCATAGGGAACTTAAATATAGTTGGGGAAAGTATATTTTTGCATAATCTTGACTAAAACAAACAGATGCCATTCAAGTACACTTGAATATCCATGCCATTCCTCACATCTACATAGCACACTGCTTACTGCATGGCTATTGAGACCACACCCACTACAGGCACTGTGCATTCCTCCATCACATGCACAGATGATTTCTAGAAGAATGGATCACACTTTTGAGCCCAAAGCACAAGACAAATAAAGCCACACATTTGAGCTTGTGGACTACACAAAGTGAAGTAAGTTTTGATGATATTATGGGGTAATATATGTATTTAATATTTAAATTGCAAATATCACATACAAATGTATTCATCTAGTACAGTGTTGCTCAAACTTTTTCATACCAAGGACCACTTAACCAATAAAAAAAACACTCGCGGACCACCTAACTCCCCAAATATCCAAAAACACATCGTTTTTCTAGAACAGATTACAAATCGCCTGAAAATGGTACAAACAAGTGGCAACATGTGTGACGAAGGTGTTGCGCTGGGCTATAGGCCTATCATGCAATCGAAAGTGAAACTTAAGCTCGCTCGCGGAGATATTCCCGCGAGAGTGCGGAAAACTTAAATGTATTTAGTTATTTCAAATATGGAATATTTCCAAAATTCCCCAGCTTAACTTCCCATGGAAATGTACCGGAAACTTTCCGGAAATGTTCCGCCCCTTTGCAACCCTAGTTGGGATATTGTTCCACAACGGAAATAAATAGTAGGCGAACCTTTAACCCAGAACCTTTAACACGTGTGTAGAAACAAAAGATAGAGAAAGAAAGAGAAAGAAAGAAAGAAAGAGAAAGAAAGAAAGAAAATAGAGAGAAAGAAAGAAAGAAAGAAAGAGAAAGAAAGAAAGAAAGAAAGAGAAAGAGAGAAAGAAAGAAAAGAGAGAGAAAGAGCGAAAGAAAGAGAGTGAAAGAAACAGATAGAAACAGAGAGAGAAATAATGAAAGAGTTAGAGTGTTAACTCAACCTTGAGAGTCCTGATCTCTTTCTTCCAGGGCTGCAGGAACAGGTTGACGCAGAGGGTCTCCAGCAGCTCGGCGGCCTTGCTGACGGCAGACAGGTGTTTCCTGCAGTCAGAACCCGGGGCAGCACAGCCCTGCAGCACGGCCCGGTGCACCGGAAGCAGGGGGAACGTCTCTGCCGGTTCTCCTGTCTGCAGGTACCGAGCCGCCCTCCTCAGCAGCGGAGGGTCCCGGCACGGCCCCACCTCCGGACACTGCTGGGAGAAGAAGTTCACGTAGTCCTCAAACAACTCGTGGTGGGAAACCGGGTCCTCTCTGCCGCCGTCCTTCATGACTGTCTCACCGACACACAGCAACCTAATGAGGAAGTAGAGCTGTTTCACCACCTGATGAGGAAGTGAGAGGAGGCACTTTAACCTTTAGAGCCCTTACAGAGGAGGAGGAGAAGTACTCAGATCATGTACTTCAGTAGAAGTACCAGAGTGTAGGAATACTCTGTTACAAGTAAAAGTCCTGCCTTCAAAATGTCACTACTAATGTTAATAACTTTTTATACTGCAGGGTAGCTTGTGAATTTACTCCAGGTGGAACTAAAGTCTGATTTAAGAGTTGATTATATTTCACATCATTCATCTACATCTGTAGTAACTAAAGGTATTAAATACATGTAGTGGAGTAAAAGTACACCATTTACCTCTGAACTGTAGTGTAGTAGATGTACAAAGTAGCATAACATGGAAATACTAAAGTAAAGTACAAGTACCTCACAATTGTACTTAAGTACAGTAGCCTACTACAAAGTCATTACAACTAGCTGCACCTTTACCATCAATAATTATAAAACACATCATGTATATTATTCTGAAATGGACCAATCTGCACAATGACTACTTTTACTTTTGGTATATTTTGATGCTAATACTTTTCTACTTTTACTTGAGTGACATTTTGAATGCAGGACTTTTACTTGTAACAGAGTTTTCCTACACTCTGGTACTTTTACTCAAGCACAAGATCTGAGTACTTCTCCCACCTCAGGTTTGAAGGGAGGCATGTGGGTGGGGGTGTGAATGTAATGCAATGCACCTACTCATCCAGTAACAATTAAATTATAAAAAAAGATGAGATAAGATGGACCTTTGTTGTTCCCCGTAGGGAAATTCAGGTGTTGTAGCAGCAACAGAATAATACGGAAACACAGGTAGTACACATGGAATATACACGGGGATAATGAGAATACAATTAAAATATAAATAGAATAAAATAGGAACGAACATGTTTTAACAGTATGAATATAAATATAAAAATGAGTTAAACTCTGACCATGTGAATGTACATATATACAGATATGTGAGCAACGTAAAATATATAAATATTTAAATGTGCAGGTAGTGCGGGTATAAGTTGTATGTGCATAGAGTAAATATTTAGCTTTTAAAGTAGGCTTAAACTCAAACTAGAATACAAATCGGCCTGGGCCTACATACAAATATTGATACAATATTGGAAAGATGGAAATGGAGAAAATACAGAGCTGTTCTTGGATGATACAAGGAAATAAATAACTGAAAATTCAATCAGCGTTTGGCCTGAGGGTGGCGCCAGAGGAACAGACATGGTCAGACATGTATGCCAACATTTCAAATATACATACAATAACAGTTACACAGAAACAAACTGTTGTGGGAGAAGCAATTACATTGAAAACAACATTTTGTGAGGGTGTGAAGGAGGTTCAGCAGTGTGAAGAAACATGCAGGAGTTTCTATCATCATACATGTGGGGGAAACTTCTGTAGCAATGGAGAGTCAGGACTCAGAGAGACACGAGGAGAGCTGGAGCTTTGATGGCAAACACTGATGGTTTATTTGGAGCTTCGGCCGGAGAATTGACAAGACAGGTTGTGTGTCACGAGTTGACACAGCGGTTGCCAAACCAATTCTGAAGAACTCTTTCTGTAGCTCGAGGTTTTAACTAGTTCGGAGTGTAATAATCAACATTCTTCATCAGTGAGACTAAACAATGATGGACCCTGAATCTAACTAGAGCTCTCGTCCATAGAAAAGAATGTGCGCCAGGGAACCTTCGTCCCTGATCAGTAAACTACCTCATGGCGGCTTGTGCTCGGTCATAGACTGGCAACAACAATGCGCCCAGCCTGCTCCTCCTTAAGAGAGATAGCAGCAATACCCAAGCTGCCCCTCCTTAAGAGAGATAGCAGCAATACCCAAGCTGCCCCTCCTTAAGAGAGATAGCAGCAATACCCAAGGCCGTAGACCTATGCCGTGGGAAAGGAGACAGTGAGAGGAGAAAATGATGAACTGTGTCGAAGGTTGAATACCTAAGCAAATGATTCCCTAACACTACACACACCTGTTCCAAAACCCTCTGGAGAGTTCATGTTTAAACTATAGTTTAGTTTATCACGACTTTTCCTCAATCCACACATCAGTGCATATGAAATCCTTCAGCTTCAGCTACTTGTTTACAGCAGCAGGATTTACCACCAGGTGGAAATTAAACCCATATTGAGATTTTTGGTGTTATAAAAGTAGTAGTAATTAAACCATACTCATTATTGTTATTGGTGGCATTTATGGTGCCCTAACTTAATGAGGTTTTTGTGGAAAACACGTCTTGTTGGACAATTACTTACCAGTGAATGACTAATAAAAAAGAGATAGAAGGTTTTAGTGAAGTTAATAACACAATGTTTGACTTTACAGTACATTGCAGAGCTTTTTGAGTTCTTCATCAGAATGAGCAGACTAGGTTTCGAGATGAAGTCACTCACCCTCTGAACCCATGTGAGATGTATCATGTTCTGTGTCATCAGAGACGGGTGCCCTGGCATACTGACCAACATACATTTACTACCTGTGTTTCAAAGGAGGATATATTTACCCTGAATCAGCCTAAAATACCAAGTGCAACACATGTAGCCTTCAGGGATGGACTACCCACAGCTCTATGATGTTACAAATCCAGTTAAACAGTTGCAATCCATTTGGTGTCATACATTTGATATGAATGAAGAACAAGACGTATTACAACCCGACCCAGGGTTCCTGCTGAACTCACAGTGTGTTGGACAGGCTGGCTGTCAGCATGTCTGTACAGGTGTTTCTGTAATGACCTCTAACAATGGATACTTGCCTGGTTACTGACTCTCATGTCGTTTCTGGTTCGTTCAGTTTCTGGTTCAGTCCTTTTATATATTGTAACTGAATATGCTTTCCGATACACGTAAACTAATCTGGTCTCCCATCACCGGTAAAACAATTGATCCGGGCTGATATATGATTATTATAGGTCTCTTTTCACAGTCATAGTGTCTCTCTTTGTAGTCATAGTGTCTCTCTTTGTAGTCATAGTGTGTAGTCCTAGGCCCTTTCTCATGTCATCAAATGTCCCTACTCGACTCCTCGACTCCTCGGTCCGGTAGTGACCCGGAAATGAATTTTAGCGCGCCATGTTGAAGGACATCTCATTTCTCGAAATGCACATCGAGGACCGAGCATCGAGCGTCGAGGAGGCTCTCTGGAGGAGCTATAACCGAGGAGACACTGATGGGTCCTCCACGGCTCCTCCGCGGATGCATTTCCGGGAACGGTGGAGGCGTGACGCACGGCCGGACTTATCTCAGCCAATGACAGCTCTGCATGCATCCCCTGGATATTATTTTATTAACTGCTTTCATCGCGACGCTATGTTTACAGTGAGAACAGCTGTGAGGTCCGTGCAGAAAGCAGAGCAGTGTGTATAATATATATCACTCAGTATAACAGGCCTACTCTCTTTATTTGCTTTAGTTTAGTAGATATCTACAAACAAAGTCGATATTTTTCTAAAACCATTTAGTGCTTCACATAATAAAATACACAACGGCTGTAGCCTAATTATATGCTTCAGGAGCTGTAGGTGCGTGTGTGTGGTGTAGGTGTGTGTGTGTGTGTGTGGTGTAGGTGTGTGTGGTACAGTGTGTGCGTAGATGCAGCGGACAGACAGGTCTCAGTTGGTTTGGTGTCCTCTGCTTACTTGTAATACTTGTAAATAAAACTTTTGGCCCGTCATTTATTTCCCTCATTGTAGCGACCAGAGAGGGGAGAGGGGGGATATATCCAGTCTCTGATAGTGTTACGTTATTATGAGAGTGCTCTGTTTGATTCTGAAATTGTATATATTTATATAAATATATACATATATGTGTGTGTGTGTGTGTGTGTGTGTGTGTGTGTGTGTGTGTGTGTGTGTGTGTGTGTGTGTGTGTCTGTGTGTATGTCCGCATCTGTAGCCTGTTATTGTCTCATTATACCGCACTGTGAATGAATTAAAAGTAAATATATAAGTGGTCATGAACACATCTGTCCATCAGACAGAGGGCTGTGCCTCCTGTCATCATTAACGGACGTCTCTTTAAAATGACCGCTCAGAGGAGAGGAGTTCTCATTTCTCTAACCGCCTGCTGCTTCCCCTCCTCTCTCCTCGGTTCCCCTCCTCGGCTCCTCCGCTCGCATCTCCTGTGGGCGGGACTAAGTCTCGAGGATAGGAGTCGAGGAGGGGAGTCGAGGAGGGACATTTGAAGACATGAGAAAGGGCCCTAGTGTCTCTCTTTGTAGTCATAGTGTCTCTCTTTGTAGTCATAGTGTCTCTTTTCGATCAATTTGTTCCTCTACTTTTTGTGTGTCTTTGAAGTTTTTTCAATTTGTCGTTTTTTTGGTATTTCTTTATATTTTGATCTGTGTTCGTTAGTTTTAAAGCCATTTGTTGCTCTTTGTTGTCATTTTGAACATCTTTGTAAATGCTTTTTGTCTTTTGTAGATACTTTAGTAATATTGGGTCTCCTGTGGTCATTTTGTGTCTTTTTGTAGTTGTTGTTGTGTTGTTATTGTGTTTATTTGTGATTGTTTTGGGGGCACCTGACTCTTTAGGCCCTGTTATTCAGGCCTGTTTTGTAATCGATCCATATCTATCGCTCTCCCTTTCATCAAAACCCAAAATCAATCAGCACATTTGACCCTAATGACCTGTTAAACTCTCCGTATTGAATTCTCGCTTTTAGGACCTCAGATGTATCACTCAACATCACATCTGCTCATTGCATCCAGCACACACACTTCTACCTTCCCATAACAGCATCCATCAGATCGTCACACACACACACACACACACACACACACACACACACACACACACACACACACACACACACACACACACACACACACACACACACACACACACACACACACACACACACACACACACACACACACACACACACACACACACACACACACACACACACACACACACACACACACACACACACACACACACACACACACACTGACACTCAGACAGCTGTGGTTATATGTGTGTGTGCTGATGTGTAAGCCAGCATTACATTCT